GCTCTAGTTAGTTGTATTAGCTATATACCATGCAGAGAGGATTAGAAGCAGTGGACTTTTTTAGCCTAGACAACGAACTACGAGAGAAAAGTATTGCTCTATAAACAGTAAGAACAACTTGTTTGTGGTGAAACCCAAACCAAATAGCATTATGCAAAACCAAATAGCATTACAGTTCTTCATTGTGGTTATTTTGTACCCACCAGAGGGTTTAGGAACAGCTTTCTAGCATGATGCAAAAGCGTTGAGGCACCTCTAATACAGCATGGTACCCGTATTGAAGGGATTATTGTTGCCTATCATAGCAAAGAGCTGGAAGTGGCTCAGTGAAGTCTTGACTGTTCCTGAACTTAATTCCTGAGATCTTCCTGAGGTAGAGGAGGAAACAACATAGCGAAAGAAATTGGAAGTTCTGTGCTATTGGGGTCAGAATTCTACAATAAAGACCAAAAGGACCATCACATCAATGTTAGCAGGGTCTGCTGTGCTAAAGGCGAGGCAGGGGAAGGAGAGTTGGGGAAAGGCATACTGGGTTAGTCAAAAAGCAAATTGAAAACTTCAGTGTAAGCCATTTTTTAAAAAGACTATGGATCTTTTTCTTGTTTTAAAATTTGAGCAAATTGAGAACTCTGGTATAATCTTTTTTCTTATTTTGGATCTTTACGTTATCTTAACAGTGTAAGCAGTGATCAGTGGCTGTTGCAGTGATGCCCAGCGTAACACAGTAGCTGTAAACTGCAGGGCAGATCCTTGCACCCAGTCTTCTTCAGAGTGAGAGGGTAATTACCCAGTTCTTTAAAAGACTCATAAATCTTTTCTCTCTCTCTGTTTCTCCTCCTCCCTTATCTCCTATATTCACTTATGTAAATTTACATGAGTATTCATGTACCTATATATTAATGTCTACCTTGGGAATAGTTTCTATAAGTGAAGCAGCAGAATAGCTCTTTGAAAATGTAAGCAACAGTTATGTTTTCTGGGTAAACCTGCTTAGCTGTTTTACCTGTGAGACAAGGAGTGACCTTTCTAGCTCAATGCTGTGCTTCTTCCCAAACAGTTCTGCTTTGAAAGTGAAACTGTATATAAAGATGTCCCTCAGGAATTTTAGTCTAGCAGTGCTCCTGATCTCTGGCTGAGGGTGTCGGGAGCCCTGCCGTGCTGCTCTCTGCTGCAGCGGGCAGATGTTGCCGGCGCGTTCCCGCTGGCCAGCACAGCAATCTCAGCGTTTCTTGGAGCAGCTCAGGGCAGCCTGACAGCAGAGACCTTTGTAACTCTAAGGATTCAGATAAAACCACCAAGTTAAAAAAAAACAACATTGGGAAAAGCAAGATTTAACAAAGTAAATACAGTGGACAGGGCTGCGGGACTGCACAAAGTCCAGTTGCTTTGAAACCTTTTAGCTGTGTCAATTTAAAGGAGCTCTGTTGAATTATGTATTGAGTGCCTGGTCTTTCACAGTATAGGCTCCATAAGTGCCAAAGCCTTGTCCTCCCTGTCCCCATGACACAGCTGTGATACTTCTTTATTCTTGATGTCATCCTTACATGTATCTTGTGTGACAAGACACTGTTCTTCCAGTGTTTACTATTTTGTTCACTGTTTCTGAAATCCTAATGCTGATCTGTTCAGTGTCAGTGTTTTGTAGTGTTGTTTTTTTCCTTTGTTCTTACTGAACTCTTCTTTATGTGAGAGGCTGGCTGTCTCTCACTTGTATTCAGAGCTGGAGGGCTTCATCTTGTGTATTATTACAAAACTACGCAGGACACTCTATGAGGCATAAAGGACTTCTGAGAGAGAAATGGGCCTGCATGCTTTTCTGTGGGTGCTCAAAGGGCATTTTAGACACACTGTTGTCTTCAGCTTTCCAGCTGCTTCGACTTGGGAACTTGACCTGTGTAAATTGCAAAGATAAATATGGTGCTTCATACTGTACCCTTTTCTATATTTTGTGATGTATAAAGCTAGCTGCAGAGATATAGAAATCTCCCAGGAAGGTGATCCTGACTACATATAGTTTGCACATGGGAGTAGATTAGATAATGGCTGTCTACTCCCTTAGCACTTTGAATCTAAGGGTATTCCCCTGAAGCAAATTGGAAGACTTATTTTATATAGTCCCTACAAAGAGCCTTCAGCAGAGTTCAGCTGCTGCCAACAAGCATGTGTTGCATCTTTTTGTGTTGCTGCCAGATACATAGAGTTCTGGAGGGAGAATACGTGGTTGTGTAATTGCAAAGCTAGCTATTATGACAGCTTTCCCTATTGTGCTGGCTGTCTGCACTGTGGGATAACCCTGTAGTACTGAAGAAATGTATTCTGAAGAGCTGAGACAAGGAGGAAGTGTAATTTCTCTCTATAGTTCTCTTAGGTATTCCTGATGTCCTGATGCTTTCAAGCTGACAAGAGCTGAGATTTTTAATAGCTAAGGAAGTTTACCAACACTTTTGAGGTTAGTGTCTTCCATGCCTTGTAAAGGTCTTTGTAGTTCAGACACCTGACTTAGGTTATCTGACTTTTCTAAGCTAGTATCCAGTACCTGTCCGAAGTGCACAAGCCATTTCGGAACATGGTCACCATGCTTCATAGTGACAGTGTGTTGAATTCCTTGTAGACTAAGCCTATACTCACACAGTTTTCTTCTACATAGACAATTTCTGCTCTGTGACTGTAGAGTTTTGTACAGAAACCTGTGTTCACACAGTCTAGAGGAGACTTAGGGACATCCTGAAAACATGGTTCACCGAGGCTCTGAGGTTCAGCACAGTAGCCAGTCTGTCCCCTGAGCTTGTGTCTGTGTCACACAAATGGAGCTATGCTGGTTTGTTTATGAGCTGGTTTGTTTTTGAGCTATGCTAGCATGTTTATTGAGTAGTCGGAAAAGCTTTCCCTAGCAGGTATGTGTGTGTGCTTCAGCTAGCTTCTCTCTTTTTAATGCACAATGAGCCCTGGCACCACTCTCCCCTGGTCCTGGCTTCAGGTACCTTTGATGATTCACCAAAGGCAAGACAGAAGGGGAACTAGCGCTGAAGGATCCTACAGCCCTGCCGGAGGAAAAGCGGGCAGAGAGTGGGTAGCTGATGTTCCCACCTAAAAAGAGCCTTGGTGGGGGAGGTTAGGTTATACTCTAGGACCCAGAGAGTTGGAAGAGACTTGAGATTTGACAGGCAAATTAAAAATGGTTGCATCTTGACTGTCAGGTTCTTAACGTAGAATTTGAAGAGTCTATAAAACCTGTTTATCTTAGTTTTATGTGCCAATGGTTTGTCCAGATATTGCACTGGAAGGAGAGCTAGCAGAAGGAATGGAGAACAGCCTGGGAAGAGGAGAAAACCAGTTTCCAAAGTCCCAGAAGCTCTGCCAGAAAGAAAATACTGTGATTATTCTAAAATTGAAAGGTGGTAAAATACCTGGATGTTCTTTTTGGTGCTAGTGAAATCGGGTATTAGCCTTACTGCCACTTTTTTTGTTTGCAGTTCTGCAGTATATCAGGCTCTTGATTTGTAGGAGGTATTTTTATGTTGTGGGTTTTGGTACCAGAAGCTGAAATCTGGGAATGTGGGGAGGAGGAAAAGAATGTATTTTTAATAAGATGGTTTTCCTTTTTCTTTGGGGAAAAGAGGAAAGTGTTTTCCTGTTTTGTGTACATAAATGGACAGAAAGTTTGCATCCACTTGGTATCAATTACACTTATATTTGTAATCAGCTTTATCAGCATGCTCCAGGAGAAATTAGAGTTGAACATGAAGAAATAGGATGCTGTTCTTCCCTGTTATAGTTAGGTCAAAAGACAAACTGAGATTAATAATAAAGACCAAATCAAGAAAAGAAATTATGATTCAGATGATAACCCTCAGACTGTAAAACTCTGGAATAATGCAGATCTTCAGTTTAACTAACAAAGAAACTACTTCTGAATTAAAGATATCTTCAAAATCAAACATGATTCGTTTTTGATTTGTTAGGCAGTTCTTCGTGCAGAAAATGGGCCAGGGTTTGGGCCTTCACTGAGTGAAATGCTTTATGAAACTCAGGTCAAACTTTTAAATTATATGCTTTTTGTCTTGGTTTCGTAAGATGGCATTTCTCGTGTGCTGTTCAGATGATCTCAATGGGCATCTCCTTCCCACCCTTCCCCTTTCCTCCTCCTGCATAGAGTTTGTTTTTGACTTCTGTTCAGAGCTGATATTTAGGGTATTTGTTGTTACTAGCTAGGATGAGCAGCCTGTACTGGAGGGCAGTCCAGGTCATAGTTGTGTATGAGGTAGAATTATCTAGCAACAGTATTTTCATGTTGAATGCTTTGTTACACACTTTCTGCAGTCTTTTATGCTGCTAAATTCTCTGATCATATGTAAATCCCACCTTCAGGCATGGTCTTTCAAATTACATTAGGAATCCAGCTTACCACTTAGCACAAAAGTTCTTACCTGGAAATAACTTTCCTTAATCATTTAAAGCAGAAGATAGATCTTTTTTCCTTTTTTTTTTATTTTAAGGTGAAGTCTCAGAATGGTATGCATTACAGTGCATACATATGCACACATGCCCACAGTGGAATTGCAATGTGTAAATAGAAACAAATACAAAAGATCAAAGACTAAAAGATAAGGGTATGTACATATAAAAGGATGGCTGGTGGCCAGTCCTGGAGCAGACTTGCCACATCCTTATAGTACCAAGCTGTCAGTTCTGTAGAAAGGAACCTATGAAGGTACAGTATTAAACTTAAAACTTTCCGATACATCTTGCTGACAATGACACCAGTGTTCTGTGCAATTCTGAGGCACTTTTTTCCATTCTGTGCCAGGAGTCAGCAGTCACTGAGCACCCGAAAAAAATCTGTGAGCAGGTTATCAGTTCCTTGGGTACACCTCTTCTGCTTTCACAGCCAGATGCAACCTCAGCGAGGGTGTAATCCTTCCTCTGCTTCACTGGCTTGTGCTGACAGGTTTCTGTGTGTGAGGCTGTCTTCAGTTTATTCTGGTCTTTCTTCCTTCCAGGATGGCACGCTCGCTGAATGACTGGCTATGGCAGCATGAGTTCTGGCTGCCTCCGGGAATCACCTGGGAGGACATGGAAGAGTCTGAAGATGTCCATTACCCTCAGCCTCATGATCTCCTGCTCAGTATCCCTTTTGCTTTAATTTTGGTTGTCATTCGATGTGCCTTTGAAAGGTAAGTCATTTAGTACTCTTTGGGGTCTTTTAGGCATAATGCTGGCTTTATTGTCTGTGCCAAGGTATGACTGAAGAGGTCCACAGAAACTCGAGGTCATAAAGGTTGCCGAGCTATGTTTTTCAGCTCTTTCTTGCCAGCCCTGTGTACTGGCTGAAGAAGTGTATTGAATATAGAACACAAAACCTACCTTTAAGGTCTAATTATTAGCAGTGTGACTTCCTACACTTAAAACAAGTAAGCCCTAGAGGAGGTTTATACGTGTATTTTAGAAGGCAGACACACTGTTTTGTGTTCTGTTGCACATTAGTTGCTGTTTCTGGGTCGAGTGGAGTGGAAATCATGTTTAGGCTGCCCAAGTACAGTTGAGTCTACTTTATCTTGGGTAATGGGGATGTGGGGTATTGCACCTGACAGACGAGCTTGGGTGAGATGCATCAGATGGGGCTGAGTCATCTTACCTCAGAACCATCACCACATGGCCACATGAATGCACGCCTGTCACTGACCACTGCTCTGGGTTCAGGAGTGTCATTTCCTTGGGAATGCCAAGTAGAGACGTTTGAAGCTGCTTCTTTCTGGCCAGAGCCATTTGAGCATTTTGCATATTACTCTTCAGCACAAAAAATTTGGGGGTTATGGCAAAGGCATAGCTAGAAATCCTGCAGGTTTCATTGACTCTGAGTTTCATAAAGGTCCTAAGCTGGTGCTAAACTGCTTTATGCAGTTTAGTCAATAGTGTGGTCTGCAATAAAACATTTACTGATAGATAACAGATTTATCATAGTGTCAGCCATTGTCAAGGCTGCAGAGTAAGTTCCTTTTCATGATTTTGAGTGTTCTTCAAAGTGATCTACACTGGATTGAAAAATCCCTATTCCTAGAGGTTATAATTTGAAATTGCTTAGTCAAATCTATAGCAAATCTAAGTTTAGAAGGACAGGAAAAAAGACAACTAAAATGTTTTTGTCATCTTTTTTTAAAAAGTGGCTGCACAAGAAAATGGAAGCAGACCTCTGTAGGCTAGAAAAGTATTTCTCCTCCAGATTAGATAGAAGGACAGCTTGGAAAAGTTTATAGAAGTTGAAATGATTCAGAGCTCTGCTGTGAGAACGATTTTAATTAAAAAAAAAAAAATATTTCAATGTAAACACAAATGCATGAATGATTCTTTAAATAATAATTTTGTGATGATACAAAGTTGGAATTCAAATCTCTTTGTAAACAATACATTTAATGTGCATTCCATAAACTCCATGGATTTTATCCTGTACTTTCCTGGGGACAAGGGTGTCTCAGTTACCTCTACTGATATGGGAACGAAGGTGCTGTAGGCAACCATTAAAACACAAATGACTCGCATTTCTTCCTTGCTGATCTGCAAAACATGGCTGGACATAGTACTCCTTCACGTAAGACACTGTCAGTTGATGACTTAAGCACATTTGCAATGTGAAACTGGAGATTAGCCTTCATGTCCTGCATTAACCAGGACTGCTCAGTTGTGTGCTCTGCAGTACAACGCATGAACAGGAAGAAGGAGCCAAACTCTTCTCAGTGGTGCCCGGTGACAGGGCAAGAGGCAGTGGGCACAAACGAAAACATATGATATTCCATCTGAACATAAGACAACACTTTTTTGCTGTGAGGGTGGTCAGACATTGGAACAGGTTCCCCAGAGGGAGTCTCCATATGTGGAAATACTCGAGATCCAGCAGGACACAGCCCTCCACAGCCTGCTGTAGTGGACCCTGCTTGAGCAGCAGAGCTGGGCTGGTTGATCTCCAGAGATCCCTTTCAGCATCAGTTCTGTGATTCTGTGACTCTTCCTTTATTCCTCTGCCACACTGCTCCTGCTCATCTAAGTATCTTTTCTATCTGCTTTAAGATGCCAATGGCGAGGTAAAAAGATTTTTTTCTGTTTCGTCCAAGCGCTGCCTCAGCTGGGAGAGTTTCCACAGGCCTGGTCCTACTCATTAATTTTAAAGCTGTTTTGATTCACAAACTTCATTAAATAAAAGCTTCTTGTCACACCCTTAAAAAAAAAAAAAGATAATATCACAAGTCCATTTTACACGTCCAGGAAACCTATAATCATACCACTATCTTACCTATTCTAATTACAAGCCAGTGTTCTGAGCTGTATTCTTGTTTGTCCTAACTCTCTGTGGTCCTTTATTTCAGCGTGACATTTTCTCATTCTCAATTATTACTGTTTCATATTCACTTAATCCTGGAGAATAAAGCTTCCCCTGGTGAAGGGGAGGTATGAATCAAGTCCTCTGTTGCTCCGTTACCTTGTGTGTACAGTGGCACTAGCCCTGTTGAGAATAATTTGCACAAGGTTTGAGAATTGCGGACTGAAAGATGTACGTGGCCTTGACTTTGTAGCTTTGTACATCTTATGTGTGGGTCAGCACAGTTGTATGTAACTAATACACACATCTGGTTTTGGTGGCTTTAGCTTGGCCTCTGGCAATTTATTCTACCCTCACCTATTATATGCAACTTTGTATTGGATGCAAAGGTGTGTTTTTTTTCTCTAGCTACGGTCTGTGCTGCTGGTGGTGCCTGCTGTGGGATTTCAGAAATGCTGTAATGTGTTCATGTCATTTATCTGTGTCAGAACTCCTACTAAGGCAGGAGAAGCCCTGAGGATTTTCTGCAATCCGAGGAAATTCAGCAACTGCATCAGCCACCATGCTTGGCTGATGGTTCCATCTTCTTGGTTTGGAGGTTAAACTTGGGACTTGGTCTTGGGAAAGACCCCACTTCCTTCAGCATGGATTTTCCTCTCCTTGGCACCTGCTGGCTGAACTGGGAAATCCCAAGACTGCCATATCATTTTAACAACCAGTTATTCCATGGATTAGGTGGTGGCTGTGGGAATAGGACATGCAGGAGCTGGGTGGGGCCTGGGAGAGCTGAGGAGGTTGTGCAGCCCTGGGGGAGAAGAAACAGCTCATGCTTCAGTGAAGCAACCCTTCTGTGAGCCAGTTTGCTCTGGGGAAGGTGGGAAAACAGGGCATTCAGTGCCAGAGAGTAGAAAGCTTGTTACCACCACAATGTTCCTAGTCTTTGCTGTAGTACTGAAGCAGGTGCTGGGGGAGGTAGGTCATCATGTCCTGACAAAAGAGAGGACCTAAAAGTTGGGAACCTCTCCCCTTCCTTTGGTGTTTCAAGATTGTGCTTGTGAGTAGATGTGTTCTGCTTCCTTAACTTGGAGCCTGATTTTAAGCACCTTTATACCTTAGCAGAACTTTTCCCTTGACATAAGCCTGCAAGCAGGGATGTCAGCTTCTCTTCTAGTTCTATAATGTTTGAGACCCTTTTCCATAAAAATCAAATTCTTGAAGTGCTATGACTATGAAGACATCACAGCTTCTATTGCAAAGTGTTTCTTGCTTGTATGGTTAGGAATATGTGGAAACTGAAGTGCTTTGAGGGATAGTAAAGCAGAAAGTTGAGAAACAGAATTTATGTCCAGTTTTGTCATCTCGTTTTGGACTTGACCAGTGATTTTTTGGATGTTGTGGAACTGAAAGCCAGTGTCAGTGAATTAGAATACAAATGGTTCCCAAATTGCATTAAAGCAGGATCTTAGTCAGGAAGATGAGGTCTCTTCTTAGGAGAGTTGCGACAGTACGTGAACCATGTGTTGTACATTAAAAAAAAAAAGGATACTGGTGATCTGCAAAGAACAGATACTTGAATTCAGAACCAGAAGTAAGATAGATGAGGACACCTCTTTCAAGTATTTTATTTTGAAATGTGTCTTTTGGAAATTCATTTTGCACAGAGGCTTTTGTTGTTGATCAATAATCAGGAAGGTCTGAAAACAGTTTCCTGTTAGGTCCTATCAGCAGGTTTTTTGTGCAAAAATGTGGGGCACATTGTAGTATTTAATTGAAAACTGTGAACTGACTTTTTACACACTTTGGATAGTAGTACTATAGTGACTTGAGATCTTGATTCAAATGGAACAGCCAGTTTAACTTTGATGTGAAGCATTCTCCTGTAAGCAAGAGAGGGTAGAAACTATTCCAGCAGTACAGGGATAGCCCTCTGCCAAAGGAAGACATTAGGCTAAAAGAGATTATGCAGTTCAAAGAATAGAAGTTCTGTTTGATGCTGTCACTGGTTCTGCATTTCTTAGTACTAGAAGATATTTGCAGGGTGGCACCCTTATAAATTCAAAAACATTTGTGGGAGTAAAATAACACCTGATCACTTACCCCTCTCCCCAGGTTAAATTATTTCTTGTATCTCACGCTAACTCTGGAATCCTCTGCAGAAGGCACATAGCCCACTTTCTCCAAGGTGGGGCAGTATCAGTTTGTGCCCCTTCATGATTAATCCATTTAGTTTCAACTTCAGCAGCTTTCACACAAGACAGTTTGTGCTTTGGTGATTTGAATAAAATGCCTTAGTGTGAACTTTCCCATGTAAACTGTGACATGAGAGAAGCTCACTGATGAAGAAGTTGGCTTGAAATGAGAATCATCTCACTGACTGTGTCTTGCCTGACCTGGCTGTGAAGAGTGGTACAGTTTAGTCCTCAGACTTTCTCCTTCTGTCTTCCAGAAAGCTGATAAACTGCCATGATGAGACCATCCCTGCAACTGAGGTGATGAATCTGTGATGTTGAAATCAGTACGAGAATCATTCTCTTAGGGTTGTGCTTGAAACAAGATTTAACTGAAAACTGAGTCAGAGCATACATCCAACGTGTACATACGTCCCTTAGGAAGAATTTCAGGCATTGATTTCTCAATGATGTTCATAAAAGTAGGATTGGTCCCATAATTCATGGTTAAGCTCAAAACCTCAACAACAAAGTAATTGTAACTCTGGTTAATTACACCCTGTCTTCATCAACTGCTACTGGCTTGTTTCTGTTACAGTAAGATTACATTTCATGCCATGACCATAACAACCTGCAGGAAAGAGAGAGAAGACAGGGATTAAAGAAAATTAAGAAATCAGTCAGGATAATTTAAATACTTTTTCAATAAAAAACTTGTTGGCAAGCTGCCCTGACACCTGGCAGAAGTGTTCTCTTTCTTTTTAACGTGTCTGGAAAATTTCAGACCTTTCAGTTCCAGATATGGACTGCTAAGAAGCTGCAATGAGGTTTTTCTTCAGAAGAGGGAAGGCTACTCAGGAAGATTACAAAGGCATTGAAAGGCTATGTAGGGAAGAGATTAGGAAGACCAAAGCCCAACTAGAACTTAACCTGGCCTTGGAAGTTAAAAACAATAAAAAGACTTTCTAGAAATATATTAGTAACAAGAGGAGGACTTGGAAGAATCTCCATCCTCTACTGGATGCAGGAGGTAACATAGTGACAAAGGATGAGGAAAAGGCTGAGGTACTTAATGCGTTCTTTTCCTCAGTCTTTAGTAGTAGAGCTGGTTGTTCCCAGAGTACCCAGACCTCTGAGTGAGCAGATAGGGTTGGGGAGCAGAATGAAGCCCCTGTGATCTAAAGGGAGGTCCTGGCAAACTGGGGTGGTCCCAGCTGACTGGTGTCTAGCAAATGTGACACCCACCTGCAAGAAGGGTTGGAAGGATGATCCAGGGAAGGCTGATCCTGACAGGCTTGTCAGTCTGACGTCGGTGCCTGGGAAGGTCATGGAGCAGATCATCCTGAGTGCCATTATGCAGCGCATAAAGGACGCCCAGGTGATCAGGCCCAGCCAGCACGGGTTCATGAGGGGCAGGTCCCGCTTGACAAACCTGATCTCCTTCTATGACAAAGTGATCCGCTTGGTGGATGAAGGAAAAGCTGTAGATGTTGTTTACCTGGACTTTAGCGAGGCCTTTGATACAGTCTCCCACAGTATCCTCCTGGAGAAACTGGCTGCCCGTGGCCTAGATGGGAGGACTCTCCTCTGGGTTAAAAATTGGCTGCAGGGCCAGGCCCAGAGAGTGGTGGTGAATGGAGTTAAATCCAGTTGGCGGCCAGTCACAAGTGGTGTCCCCCAGAGCTTGGTATTGAGGCTGGTTCTCTTTAACATCTTTATCAACAATCTGGACGAGGAGATCGAGTGCATCCTCATTAAGTTTGCAGATGACACCAAGCTGGGTGGGAGGGTCGACCTGCTGGAGGGTAGAAAGGCCTTGCAGGGGCTTCTGGACAGGCTGGATGGATGGGCCGAGGCCAATGGGATGAGGTTCAACAAGGCCAAGTGCCGGGTCCTGCCCTTGGGTCCCACCAACTCCCTGCAGCACTAGAGGCTCAGGGAAGAGTGGCTGGAGCTGCCTGGCAGAAAAGGACCTGGGGGTGTTGGTGGACAGCAGGAGGAACATGAGCCAGCAGTGTGCCCAGGTGGCCAGGAAGGCCAACAGCATCCTGGCCTGTATCAGGAACAGCATGGTGAGTAGGACCCAAGAGGTCATCATCCCCCTGGACGGGGCACTGGTGAGGCCCCACCTTGAGTACTGTGTCCAGTTTTGGGCCCCTCACCACAAAAAAGCCATTGAGGGGCTGGAGCGTGTCCAGAGAAGGGCAACGGAGCTGGTGAGGGGTCTGGAGCACAAGTCTTATGAGGAGAGGCTGAGGGAGCTGGGGTTGTTCAGCCTGGAGAAGAGGAGGCTGAGGGGAGACCTTCTCGCTCTCTCCAACTCCCTGAAAGGAGGGTGTAGCCAGGGGGGGTCGGTTCTCCCAAGGAACAGGCGATGGGACAAGAGGAAACGGCCTCAAGTTGTGCCAGGGGAGGTTCAGGTTGGATATTAGGAAAAATTTTTACACAGAAAGGGTTATTAAGCCTTGGAACAGGCTGCCCAGGGAAGTGGTTGAGGCACCATCCCTGGAGGTATTTAAAAGACGGATTGACATAGTGCTTAGTGACTTGATTTACTGATTTTTTTTATTTTTTTTTTCATCAGAGTTAGGTTGATGGTTGGACCAGGTGATCTTAAAGATCCCTTCCAACCTAGACAGTTCTGTGGTTCAACAACAGAACTTGATCACGTCTTCCTCTTCAGATGAGCTTGTATCAAATGACTTACATTTAAAAAAGAAAGATCAGGCCCACTTCAGGGAACCGCTTAATATAAGAACCAAGACCTAGTGCAGTGCGTAAAGTAAATGTTTTCTCAGTTTCAGTGTAGTTACGTATACCGTTGAAATACTACATCTTTGTTCTTAGCGCAGCACCAGCTGGTCCAATGTCAGTGTTAACCCCTTTGACTGTACGTAAGATGTAATTGAAACATTTGAGACCAATCAGAGCTAAAAAACAAAATTTCCAATGATGGCTATATTCCTCTGCCATCCAGCTGTGTGCAGCTGTGCCAGGGTACTACTGAATTTCACTGAAACTAAGCAATGCTTAGACATAGTTATCTCAAAAGCTATGTGTTTTGTTGGAAAGTAGCTAGCAAGCACACTTACCCCTGGCTCTTCTCTCCTGGTATCTTTTTCATTGGTCTTGGTACATCTTTGAATGTTCCTGTAGCCAGTGATGCCACAGGAATTTCCTAGAGATGGTGGACAACTAGGGGCTGGCTGTGCAAAAGAAGGATGGAAATCAACTGTTACATGAGTGAACAAAATGTGTTACCATTCTGTGTTTTATGCCTTAATGTAATAGAATTTAAAACATTCTTTAGGTAGGTGGTCTGTTCATAAAATTGTCTTTGATACCTGTTAATTAAAAAAAGAAATGAGTTCTTGAAAAGAAAACTTCAAAAGGCCCTTCTGGAAGGATGCTTGATCTAGAATAGTCTCTAAGCACATGCACGTATGGAGTATAGGCTGTAGGGCTAGAAGAGACCACAGGCAACCACACAATATAATAATCACAGTCATAAATACATCTCATACTATTTTTAAGTAGAGCATCTTTAAACACCTACATAGTGAAGTAGCTTTCTCAGCTTTTTTGCTGCAAAGTAAAAAAAAAAAAAAAAAAAAAAATCTCGTTCCTTGTCTGAATCATTAGGGATAACTGATGAGAGGACCTGCCTGAACAATGACCACTCAGAGCAGGGTTGGGTCTCAGTGCTCGCTTCCACTGCATGGTATTTGTCAGCTCTTGGTAGCCCAGTAATTGTTCAGAAAGCTGCTGATACCTTAGCAAAAAACTTCTACTCCAAAGTGCAGAGATCAGATTTGCCAGAGATTTTACGCCTTCAATGTTCAGCAACAGCACTGAAAAGTGCTTCTAGGCAAACAGTCTGCTCTTTTCTTTAATGAGACTGCATGCCAGTGACTATGTGTAAAAGGTAGTGATTAATGAACAACTAATTCTCCAGAAATTCAAGGAGAATGCAATTAATTTGGGCTTTATTTTTTAAACATTGATTTGCCAGGTTTCCTGTTTGTGCAGGACACCTCACCATGACACCTCACTTCACACCATTGATGAGGCTATTTCCTGTTGCTGAGGGAGGGAAGAGTGTTTGCAGTGGAGGAGTTGAATTGTTGAGCTATGCCCAATTTTGTTACCTCTTGGTAATTTTTTATTTATTTATACAATTATTTTTTTATTTGCATTGTTTCACTGTGAAAGGCTGAAGATGCACAGCTAGCATAAGCATCCATTCCTTGTGACTGGGTTTCTAGTTGCTATGTCCTTATTTTACAACTGATGCTTGACTTGCAGTAGGAAAAACAGAGGTAAGTTACTCCGATAAAGACAGAGTATCCTCCTGTTTCAGCAGGACATTTCTTCTGATTAATACCCCACATCTGATACAGCCTCCCTCTTCATCCTGGACCAGGTGCTTAGTTCAAGGGGATGCCATGTTCTATATCGAGCAGCGAACAACATTTTGCTTTATCATCAGCATGGTACTTTGCATAAGCTGCAGGCAAGCCAAAGAGCAATGATAGGCAACATGGCTGACTTTGCAAGCTTGGGTTTGTACCATAATCCCAGACACCCAAACACAGTGGATTCAGAAGCAGACAGAACAGGATACAGTATTGCCTGGCCTTGTCTGATTTTGGATATTACAGCACAGGGCTTGGGGCTGTCCGATTTTTTTCTGCTGTAATTTTGAGGGGTTTTGTCTTATCTGCATGATCTGATACTTGTGCTTAGATTCAAAATGTAGGAGGCAGCTATTATATACGACATCATGTTTTTAACAGTGCTGCAATATCAGAAATCACTTCTATTTTTGGCTGAACCTTTATCTTTTCTTTTGCAGAGCCATAGCCCTGCCCCTCAGTAGCAAACTGGGTGTGAAAGACAAGCACAGACCAAAAGCTCAGCCCAACCCCATGCTGGAAACATTCTACAGTACGTGCTGCAAGAACCCTGAAGAAGTAAGTTCATTCTTCCTTTGTTTTCCTCTAGATTTGACCCTTGTGTCTTTAGCCAAATAAATTACATTTGGAATTCTGAAGTTTGGTACTGCCACTCATTTGGAAGCTCAACAAAGCAGCGGGAACCACTATGGCATGGGCCACCTGACACCAACCAGCCACAGATGCTGTCTGCTATCAGTTCTGCTTCTGAACATTTAGGAATAGCAGCTTTCTATAGGTAGCATTCTAAAAATTTAAATCCCAAACTTCTGTGGACAGGACAGTCCAAAGGAAATAGTGACAAGTCCTGTTCCCTCCTGTGTTTGCTTATATGTGGCACAAACTGAAACACAGGAGGCTCTATCTGAACGTCAGGAAACACTTTCTTACTGTGAGGGTGACCAGGCACTGGAACAGGTTGCCCAGAGAGGTTGTGGAGTCTCCATCCTTGGGGATTCTCAAAAGCTGTTTTGACATGGTCATGGGCTATAGAGCTGCAGAGCTACTGTTGGTAGCTCTATTTGAGCAGGAAGGTTAGATGAGATGACCTCCAGATGACCAGAGGTTCCTTCCAACCCCAGCCATTCTGTGAGTCTGTGATGGCTTCTTTACATATATTAGCAAATCCCTGTCACATGAGCTGATCTGAACTGACTCCCATGTTGCTAGTCCTTGCAGCTCAGCAGGATTGTAAGGTTGCTTGATGCTCCTAGTTCTGGGGCAGGTCATTCTGTTGCTGTGCAATCCATGGGTTTGAGATTGGCCTTTCAGGAAGCCAACTGAAGTCTTGTCCATCATCACAGATTGTAAGGAGTGTCAGAAAACTGCAAACACAAATGGTGGGTCGTTTTCCCATGAGAGAGAAAAAGAGTGATCTTGAAGATCTTGGCAGGATAATCCAGAGTTATAATGGCTGCTCCTGAGAGAGAAAGCATTGGCAGGATTGTGTATTGTCAAGCAGTACTGGGATTTAATCCTGTCAGTGAAGTCCCCTGGAAGTGGTAGGGAAAGGAATCCGATTTTCTTTCAGCTCCTTTTTGCAGGTTTTCTTGGCCTTGAAGCAATAGCTATTAACCCTTACTAAGGATGTATGAGCAGGGGCCTGGGGTTCCAGTGGGTAGTCCAAGCACGAACACGTTTTTGCCTTGGCAAGGCTGTTCCGGCATGGTTCATAGTGCAGTGGGGCATGTAGAGCCCCACGACATTCAGTACCAGGTTAAATGTAAAAGAATGGAAGCTAGAATAAAAATGCAGGCAGTCATTAGGGTTGTGCAACCAGCCTTTCTCCCCAGTAGAAGGAGTGTTCTCAGGACACTTGCCAGTATGGTGGTCCCTGACCTTCCTCTTTCCTGTCTGTCTGCAAAGTCCATGCGCTTCTCAGTAAAACTACTCCTGTTGCAGAGATCTAACTCAAGGCCTAGCTTTGTAGGCAGGTTTTCCCCACAGCTCTCCATGCACCTACGTTGCACTGAAGCCAGCACTTTTATCCCAGAGAATCTGTGATACTGGAGCGTATCCTCACCACGAGACTCCTGACAGCGTGGTGTGGAGCGAGAATGGTGCAGCTGGCTGCTGCCTTACTGTTGCGTTCACCAGTTACACCTCAGCCAGTCTTCTAGCTTCCTCCCTCTCCTATAAGCTCTCAAACTGCTTATGAGTCAGCTTTTCCTTGTACAGTACAAGATGCAATTTTGCTATTCTCAGCAGATCTTCTCCTGAGATTCCCTGAGTGGGGGCTCCATTATGGAGCAGTTGGAGAATGTAAATCAGCATCTCCGTTTGTCTCCACCACAAGAACAGAAGTCACTAAATAGGAGTGGAAAGAAGCACATCTTAAAATTGGTAGTAAACACGCTTTCGTACAACATGCTGGGACTATGTAATTCACTCTTGCATGATACCATTAAGGTAAATGGAATCTATGAAAAACTATTGCTTTACTTAAATCTAAGGCTATCCATGGTGACACTTCCAGAAGGAATATAAAACATGACAAACATTTTTCGTGTCACATGCCCAACTGTTAAGAGCTTAAGGACAAGAAGGAAGGTAATTGCAGGAATTCTGTGGGTAACCTATTGAAAAATTATCCCTAACAGGTTTTCCACAACAGGAGAATATCCAGTAGGAAAATGGTGCTGCCTCTGCTCGTGACATCAGTCAGGTTATTGGCTGATACTGCATGAGAATGCTGAAAGGCATGACAAGATTTGGTGCAGAACTTGAAAAATTATTTAAGGTGCAGTAAACTTTTGTTGGAGTGACAGGTTCAGGGACTGAGTCGCTGAAGACAGGGTGAGGAAGTGACCTGACAGCAAACTGCTGTGAGGAGATGAGAACAGAGTTTGAAAGTTGAAACTGGAGAAATTCACATAAAAACTGTAAAATTTCAACATTTAGCATTGCTTATGGGGGAATGTAAAGATTTTCTACTATCTGAGGTCATTATATTAAGAACAGACAGCTTTCTGAAAGGTGCCTTAGCCTGAACAGATTTGGACTTGCCAGGAGCCTCTGGCTTGGCTCTGTGATGGGTCAGACGAGATGTCCATATTGCCCCTTCTGACCTTCAAACCTGAATCTGAACCCGCTGCCTCACCTGTTTTCCAGGGTGAGCTGATCAGTTTAGCCAAACAGTGTGACCTGCCGGTGAGGAAGGTGGAGAGGTGGTTCCGGCGCCGGAGGAACACAGACCGACCCAGCCTGTCGAAGAAGTTTTGCGAGGCCTGGTGAGCAGGAGCACAAGCCATGAGCAGCCATGAGCAGCAGGGGCCTTTCACTGGAGCTGAGCTCCCTGCCTGCCAGCCTGCTCTCCACCCCTACTCAAAGAGCATCCTGACTCTTCCCTGCCTCACCTGGTTCTTCTGTTACTCTCTGCTGCTTCTCTGTTACTGAAACATTCCTTTCTTTTCCCTTTTACTTTCACTTCTAGGTCTCCTTTTACTCCTGTCTCACCTTTAGTCTTTCTAGGGCCTCTTTGTTTCTGCTTTGAAACTCAATTGTACCTGAAAAACTTCCTACTGTTTTGTATCTTACTGCTTCTTGCTGCTGTTTCGGTGCCTCCAAAATAGTCAGCCTTTCTGTTGCATTTCCCATGACTAGGTATTGCCTCCCTGCAAGCTGATTCCTTCTGCTGCATCTTTTCTGCAACTGTTCTGCATGCTGTTGCTTTCAAAAGTCAGGGGCAGCAGGCTAGATTGTATTCTGCTGTCAGGTGACTTCAGCATCCTGAAAGTCAAAAACCAGCACCCTTCTGTAGTGGCAGAAAAGGAGGCCTATGTGAAAGCTTGTGTTTTCCAAAGAGCAAAACTCTTCTTGGAAACAGCTGTGTGGAAATTCTCCTTATTATGTGGAGGCACAAAATAAATCTCATATCAGCCAGTTCTGTGAGTATTATTCTTGACTAAGTTTTCCTGAGTTTAATTGAAATGCCTTACTTATGAGTGGCTCCCAGGAAAGCCATGGAGGTGAAGGAAATCATTAAGTACCTGCAGCGCTATTCATCTCTCTAAAAGGATATAAGCATAGGGTAGGCATCAACTTTGAGGTAATCACCTCGTGCTCCATTTAGCACTCAGCCTCTAATTCAGAACCCCTGCCTAGAAACCCTAATTGAAAAAGAAAAAAAGGATGTGTATTATTAATGTATAATATTCCAGATTGTTCAGTTAGAAATACTTAGAAAAAAATCCGTGGACAAGGAGTTGTAAATCAACCCTGCTTAATCTGCTTCCATCAAGATGAAATCTAAGTTCTCCCTGCACTCAGCTGACTTGCGGTAAATAGTAACAGTAGATGGTAAACAGTAAATCCTTTTCTGACTCAGCTCACTGAGGATGGTGTCCTTACACCTGCCCACTATCACCATGTCCAGTCTGTAGAAAGAATGTCTTTGCAATGTCTTCTTGTAGCTTTGTACAGTTTATGTGTGTCCTGGAGCTCCTGGGGGGTTTCACTGAGAGGTGGAGTCTCTCTGCCTCTCAAAATGTAGTTACTTCTGACTTGTTATCGAGATTTTTGGAAATTAGAAGAACTGGTTTAGACAGTTTTACTCCTTTGAAGATTTCCTGTGTTTAGTTTATTAACTTCTTGTTTATTCTGTTGGGGTGAAATTCCTCTCATTCCTTACTATATGTGTGTATATTCATTGTGACCTGCCTCTTGTCCAATGAACTTGGCAAACAATTCATATGTCCTTTTGTGTGGGTTGAATGTGGGAAAATCATTACCAGCTCCTGACTGAGGCAAACATGACAGTAATTAATTAGTTTAGATGATAATGAATTTAGCATGCCTAATCTCCAAAAGCTGAGGAGAGAGATTGGCATTGTTTGACTTCTACCCGTGCCCCTGCTGGTGCTGGGAAGGTTTGGGATGATTATCTCAGTGATTTTAGGGAGCGGGATTCTTGTATTTTCTGCCATCTCAAAAGCAGAAGAATTGCTCTTTGTGAAGTGTGTTGAGTGTGCTCGTTGCATATGAAGAGCCACTTCTGTTATGATCAGGGCAAACTTTGAATTTATTAGTGTATGTCTTTGTCTTAATAGTACATTTTTTGAATGAGTGTGATAGATACACAAAATTTCAGCTTGGTGGTTAATGAATGGGATTCTAATGTACTTTTTTTTTCTTTCTTTGTAGTTGGAGGTTTACATTTTACTTCATTTCTTTCTTCACTGGACTTGCTGTCCTGTACGATGTGAGTACACAAGCAGCGCCACCTGCTGTTCCACCTAGCCAGTGCCTGCACCAACGGCAGCTCCTGTTGTCAGACAGCTCCTGTTGTCAGACAGCTCCTGTTGTCAGACAGCTCCTGTTGTCAGACAGCTCCTTTCAGAGCTTCTTATAGCGGTTTTCCCACGGGGTCAGTATGTATCCTCTGTGCAGCACACTTACAAGACCACAAACATATTGGACCGTGTTTGTTTTGAAAACTCCAGCTTAAAACCAAGAATTTTCAACTTCTTTGACAAAGCAGAAGACAGTGGGATTGTATAAAAATAGATTTCTGTGGGGTAGGAGGTAGAACACTCACCTGAGATGGAAGCTGCAAGGCCTGTTTGTGTGTTGTATCTAATAGCTGTTTAAGGTAAAACGCTCATGCTTCATTTGGAGTATGGAGTGCAATTTAATAATTTCATTTATTAATTTTCTTTTCCTTACCCAAGATGTGATTGGTTCAGGTGCAGGCTTCTGCCTTTTCTCTGGTTTGATAAATAATGGATTCTCTTGATACATATTGAACTACCTCAACAGGCAGAAGAGTTAATAGAAGCCATGCCTATGCTCTAATCACTGAGCAGTGATCATTTAGCTAGGACTAGGGGCACCAGTTATCCTCTGGCTGTGTTTTAAAGGTTCCCCTGGCTCTTTTGCTGAATCCAGTTCCCCATGTGAGTTTTACAAAAGTCACCAGGCACCTTCTGAGGAGTTAAGTAATGGAAAACCTGCAGATCCCAGTACAACAGGCACAAACTATGCTTGTAACGTCTCATTAATGTAACAAGTGAAGAACTTTTGAACTTACACTGACTTTTAAGTTAGAATTTAAGGTACTCGAGAAGGATGACAGGATGAGCTAGCAGAAGACCGAAGGTAGCTAATTCCCAACTGTAGTGTTTTGTGGATCTGCACATCAAATTAGAATGCTGTTCTTTGAGGCCAGCTGTGAGAGTTTGGTATGGATGACCTGCTAAGTATAGTACAAGAGCCCTGTGGCAACAAAAGAGGCAAAATCCTGTTCTGCATTCTAGTAAAGAAAGGTCATCTTCACTTCTCATGAAAGTCTTTTCTTTATTCAGTACACATCTTGCAACTTTCACAAGAAAAAGGAGGCATCTATCCTACAGACATCAACTCTAGATCCCATAGCAAATAGCATGTTATTCTGTTACCTAAAATTGTACCAAAATGCCTACATTAAAAAAGAAGGACAAAGAATTAATGTGGCAGGGCATATTTGCATGTCACATTTCCTGACTTTTGCATGTTTAGTTTGAAATCTGACTAGTATTTTAACATGCATTTCTTTTTCTGAATCAGCCTTCTTTCTTTAGAAAAAAAACAAGTGTTTAAATTCTATATTAGTATCTTTAGACTGATGGCAAAAAACCTCTGGCCCATGAGTCAGTGGAACAGCAGGTAGCAATAGAAAGCTATCTCACAGTAGGCCACCAGAAAATGGCTTTCTTTGCTGAGAGTAGAAGAATGATGAAATTCTGGCATCTGGGGTTTCTTTCTACTTTAGGTAACATGGTGTGCCATAGTTGTTTCAGAGTTTTTGCTTTGTCCTCTCTGACTCGGTATCACACATCTCTCCTGGCTCTGTACCTGTATTTGCTGTAAATCCTACTCCCAGCCCCACTCCCAGCCAGCAGGAGGCTGTGTCTGCTCCTAACTACCACCGCTCATAAAAAAACACTACTTCCTGCTTCCCATCCAGTAATGCTCGTGCACCAGAAGGTGCTCAGTAAGAGAACAACGAATGTCGCCTTCTTGCTCTTAGCTCTGATATTGGAACCTTGCAGAACTGTTAAAGAAAATTACCTTTACAGATGTGGCATAGATTATGTTTCATCACTGTGTACTCTGGGATATGCTTGCTCTGATCAAATCTCGGCACAGCAAAGTGTCAGAGCATGCTATGTGCAGGAAGAACTTTTGGGGACTTTAGTTGCCATGTTTCTATGAAAGTTTTGAAGCTGCCAAGTTCTAAACTACCAATTTTATATGAAGCGTGAACAAAGTAGGATCTTTTCAGTGGTTAATTACTTAACAGACTGCAGCATGATCCTTCACCATTAAAGGAAAAACCATGTTTCAGGCACTCAAGTTTTCAGCCTTCTTACATCGTTTAAGTGTTGTCCAAACCTCAGAGATTCTTAATGAAATCATTCTAAGAATATTGTAATATATTCAAAACATAACTGTCACCACCCTAAACTTGTAGAAGGCTGGAACAAGTTGGTAGAAAGCTTCCCTGAGCTATTTTATTTGGAATTGGGCTAAACAGCATGTGAAATTCCAGCACAATAGCCACGAATTGGCAATATTGCAAGCAACTGCAGGTTCTTTTAGTGGAAATCTCTTGGCAACTGAGTTCCAGACACTGTGACCAGCTCTGCCTGTAATAAAACACAACGAAGTCTGTAGAAGTAAAAAACAACAGGAGTTACACAGCTGATAAGAGAAGAATTCCTCTGGCATTTTCACATTTATGTTGCATTTTCTTTCCAGAAGCCTTGGCTTTGGGACCATAGAGAGTGCTGGACAGGATATCCACAACAGGTGAGTCATGCAAGAGGGAAAATTGCTCTTATAAACCAGATATTGTCTTTCGATATCTTTTGAAAATCAGGCTATATTAGTGACAAAAGAGAGGGCACTGAATTAAATTCAGATCCACAAGCCCTGAGAATTCAAAGCCAGATCCTCGTCAAGGGAGAACATCTTTGTATCTAGTGTAATCTAAACACAATAGAGGGTGAGTTGGGCGAGCAGGAGGTGACTGGAGAAATAAAGGGAAAGTGAGAGTTCTGACCAGGTGAGCCAAGAAACTGAAAAATGGGAACGCTCCGAGGTTGTTTAATTTGTAGAGGAGACTGAGGCCAGAGAAGGGCGTGTTGCCAGAGGAGAAGCAGCAAAGACTTCAGTGCAGCATGTGTGGAACAGAGCATGTGTTCTGAATGCTGTGTACTCCCAGCTCAACTGAGGAATCATGTCCACAGTGCTCCCCAAGGAGTTTGTTTCCCAGTGGAACTGTCAGTATGGCCAGTAGCAATATAGCATCATTCCCTTTAAGTTAAGAAGATGCTATCTTACAGTTTTACAATGTACATTCTGAGTTTTTTCTAACAGCACTGTCAGAAGCTGTCCAGTGGTGGAAAGCATATATCTCTTGTCAGCCCAAACCAGAATAACCTCAATGAAAATTGCCAGCCAGGCAGAAAACCTACTCCTTGTTCCTCAACACAAGGAGCAAAGATAGCAACCAAAAGCCAGGCACTTTTTTTGCCCAGCTGCCTCCTTTGCTATTTCCAGTCCTATAACTTGAGAAGTTGAAAGAGTTAGAGTGGGGCTTTGCCTGGTGAGCACAGGAGCCATTGCCTGCTCAGCATTTCCCCTTATGTTTTTATGTGCTCTGAATTCTCTACAGAAGACTACTATTGCCTATTCTCTAGCAGGAGCTATAGAACAGCTATAACATGCTGCTGTGGATGCCAGAGCAGACATAATAAAGAGAGCTAAATTTCATTAAAGTGAAAAATCTGATTCCAACTTTGGAAGAGGTTCCTCTATCCTATGAGAGCAGCTGGTGAGTGTTTCTAGCTGGGTAGTAATCTCCTGTACTAGTGTGCAGGGAACTGCCATGCACAGGTTTTTAGCATAAGTAGCATAAGGTAAGAAATAAGAACAAATCTAAAAACACTTTCTCCCCACCCCTCCCTTCTTCCCGGGTTCAACTTCACTCCTGACTTCTCCACCTCCTCCCCTGAGGCGCTAGGGGACAGGGAGTGGGGGTTGCGGTCAGTTCATCATACATTGTCTCTGCTGCTCACTCCTCTTCACACTTTTCCCCTGTGCCAGCATGGGGTCCTTCTGACAGGAGACAGTCCTCCATGGATCTCTCCACTGTGGGTCCTTTCCACAGGATGCAGTCCTTCAGGAACAGACTGCTCCAGCATGGGTCCCTTGCAGGGCCACAGCTCCTGCACAGGCTCTCCACAGTGGTCACAGCCACCTTTGAGCACATACCGCTGCTCTGGCATGGGGTTCTCCACAGGCTTCAGCTGGATATCTGCTCTACCAAGGACCTCCATGGGCTGCAGGTGGATATCTGCTCCACCAAGGACCTCCATGGGCTACAGGGAGACAACCTGCATCACCATGGTCTTCACCACAGGCTGCAGGGGAATCTCTGCTCCAGTGCCCAGAACACTTGCTTCCCTCCTCCTTCACTGCTCTTGATGTCTGCAGAGTTGTTTCACATATTCTTACTCATCTCTACCAGCTGCTGTTGCACAGCAGTTTTTACCACTTCTTAAATACATTATTGCAGAGGCACTCCCACCATCGCTGATGGGCTCAGGTTTGGCCAGCAGCAGGTCCACCTTGGAGCTGTCTGAAAGTCGCTCTGTCAGAAACGGGGCAACTTCTGGCATCTTCTCACAGAAGCCCCCCATGCAGCCGCCCCCTTGCCATGTAAACCCAGTACACACACTTTCCAACATTTGTAACAAACAGAAAAGACCAAAACCAGAGCTAGTAATGTCCCACTGGGACATTAGCAGGAACAAAGAATTTCTACTACAATTTCTACTAAGCAGACCATGGCCTGTGCTACAGACAATGGCAATAGAAACACCAATTCTCCCAAATAATCTTATCTTTGGGAGAAAAAAAAATCTCTTCTGATCCAGAGTTCCTCTTTGGATAACCTCCAGAGTGTGAACAGCACATAGGGCCTGGGAGATGTTAATTTCCCCCGTGCTAGCACCAGCGCATCCAGCTCTGCTTCCTCTTGTGGCTACAAAGGAAAACAAACTAAAATCTATGAAGGCTATAAATCAACACTTTGGGTAGAGAAAGCCCAAATAAATTGGTGCTTGGGAGCATCATACTCCATAATTCTCTGGAAATGCTAGTTGCAAAGCCACTTTAGTGGTAGTAATTTTTTTTTTATCAAACAGGTTCAGATTTAAGGAGATCATATAGTGCTGCAACAGCAAAAAAAATGCTTGCTAAATAGCACATACCTTTGCTGAGTGGGTCTGAGCTTTTAGTTTTCCAGCTGTAAAACCCTGGAAAAATTACCCAGAAGAATGCAGATTACTGTTAACGCTGACATTGCACTTTCTGGCCATTACTTTGGTTAAACTGAAAAATCTGTGATAGAGTACAAGGTGTCTGAAGTATCTCCCTGAATCCTTAAAGGGAATTATTTACTCAGCAACTACCTACCTAGTTTGCCATAGTGAAATGGTTTACATAGGTTTTAAAGCTCTGTACTGGCTGCTCAAGAATCTGCAGAGTGCTGAAGAAATCCTAAATACATTCAGGATCTTCCTAGTGGTTCCCTAAATGTTCTACATGGTGCAGCACAGTGGACTGCTATTTGCTTTTGCCTCAGCACAGATGACATTTAGTAAGTAACCGCATGATTCAATTGAAGTATTCCTCCCCATGAAGCTGCAGGAACCAGTTTTGTTGATTATCTGATGCTCTTTTGCCTAGGAAGGAGTCTTCACTTCCAGCCCTTCTTTACCTGATGAATATTTTGCTGTCACTCTCTTTCTCATAGCCCCTCCAACCCTCCCTATTCTGGTACTACCTGCTGGAGCTCTCCTTCTACTGGTCACTGGTCTTCACCCTGCCCTTTGATGTGAAGAGGAAGGTGAGTGGCAGCCTCAGGGAAGAATCAAGCAAAAACAGGACCCAAGCTGAACACTCAGGAGGGTGATCACCAAGACCACACAGATAGTGCTAGTCTTGAGGTTTTGGAAGACTCTGTCCTCACTCATTCCCAGGAATTTCCATTCCCAGTCACTGGCTTCCCTCTTCTCTGGGAAGTGGAAAGCACAAATCCTGACACAGAAAGGTGCAAACTACTGCAGAGTTCTCAATCCAGACTTGAAATCCAAACTTAAAAATGGCTCTTCTGGTACTCTTCTAGGCTGCACTGACCGTAGAGACAGAAGAGGTGATTCTCTGCCAGTTAAGCTGCCTGTGTTCCTACGTGCCAGTGCCCCAGCAGAGAGGGTGCTGGGTGGTTACATAGGCATACACATGCACTGAGGCTGTGAATATGCCCTTATAAGTAAAGAGTAGTTGTGAGTCTCCATTAGCGAGCCCAGGGGTATGAGATGATTGTGCAAACAGGAAGGCATGCATAGGAGCATGATAGATACGGACACTGCTTTGTGACAGAAAGAAGACTTTATGTTGAATTTGTCTGTACTGAATCATCTCATATTCTGTCTTCTGATTTGCACCATCATTGGACTGTTACTGGTGGAGGGAGAGAGTTCCTTTGTTGTGAGATCCTGAGTTTACACCATAAACTCTTCATTCCTGGGTTTCTTGGTCACCTACATTTCTAGAATGTGTTTGGTAAAAGAGTTATATGGTCTCTTATGGTGGGAGGTTTCTTAGTCATTGGGTAGAGAGATTTCATTACTACCTGCAGGAGGCATGCTTTAACCTGCGCAGAAGGTGCATTATGGATTTTATTCTCTGCTGTTTCAGGACTTCAAGGAGCAAATAGTCCATCATGCTGCAACCATCTTCCTGATCAGTTTTTCATACTGTGCCAATTACATCCGCATTGGGACACTGGTGATGATTATTCATGATGCTTCTGATTGCTTCCTAGAGGTGAGCCCACAACTTACACGCCAGGGAAAGCCTAGTTAGCAATGGTGCTCTTTCACCAAAAGACACATCTTTTGATCTAACAAACTATAGGCCAAGCATTGTATTTCACAGATAACTCAGTGCTGATGTCCTGACCCAGCCTAGGATGCCCTGCAGAGAGCCAGGAAGAGGCATGATTACCTGCATGCAGATTGTATTGTACCTGGCTCATTAGCCTCCTGGAGTATGTGCAGATGCACTGTCTTGGCCTGCTGTTTTATTGTTCTTTCTCCTTCCAGCCTACTAAGATATTCAATTACATGAAGTGGAAAAAAACTTGTGACAGCCTCTTTATGATCTTCTCAGCTGTTTTCCTCATCAGCCGCCTGGTCATTTTCCCTTACACGTGAGTCTGCTTCAGTCAAGGGAAATAGAAAAGCTGCCTTCTAAAAGACAGGATAATTCAGCTGGCTGCTGAATCTTTTGCTGCAGCCTTTGCTTTTCAGTCCTTGAGCATATGTCACTGACCTTTGCATAGGCTACAGTGCCACATTGCTGTTGCACGTGCCTTGGGGTAAACTAGGGTGGTCTGCTTGGAGTTCACAGAGTGATCTTAAATTCCTGCAGTACACTGCAGAGGCGGAGTCCTTGGCTTGTGGCTCTACCCTGCTTATTTCTGGTGGGGGCTCACGTGTTATATATGAGAAGAAGGTAACTGACCTGAAACTTCCTCTGTGACTAGAGCTTTCTGGGGCTTAGTTACAGCCCCCTAACAACACACTTTCCATCCACTGCAATTCCCTCTCTCTTTGCAGAGTGCTCTATAACACCTACTATTACTCCATGGAGATATTCCAACCCTTCTTTGGATACTACTTCATGAATGCTCTTCTGATAACTCTGCAGCTGCTCCACGTCTTCTGGTCCTGCCTAATTATTCACATGGTCTACAAGTTCATCCTCCAGGGCACGGTATGGATCACTTTGTAGTCCCCTGTACATCACATGGGTCCACCTAGACTGTTTGGGAGCACGGGTTCATCTGGGATGGAGTAGTGAAATTATACATGTACATTGCTAACAGTGAGGTGAAAGGAACATTCAATATTATTAGGGAAAGTTGACCCCAAAACAAGTGAAATTTTTATGAGTCACTACAATATTGTGTCCACTTCTGATGCTTGTATTCGAGACAAATGTGGATTGGACTCCAGGGGAGATTTCCATGAACAAAGCCAGTGATGTTTGAGTAAGGATTCCAACAGTTCGTACAGTATGATTTACATTTGCAACAAAACTAAGAAATGAAGGCGAGAAAATTGTCATGATAGGTAAGGCCAATGTAAAAGTGCTTCCCTTATAGTACAGGATTTTTAATTACAGTGTTACTGAGATCACAGAACTACAGAAGAGTAGGTTGTCCAGGACCATGTCCAGAGAGCTTTTGACTATGTCCAAGGACAGAGGCTCCATAACCTTTCTGGGCACCCTGTGCCAGTGCATTTCAGCATTTTCCAACTTGAATTCATTAATTACCCTCTCAGTATAAAAACATTTCCTGATGTTCAGAGGGAGCCTCATGTTTCAGTTTGTGCCTGTTGGCTCTTGTCCTGTCACTGGACACTACTGAGAAGAGCCTGGCTCTGTCATCTTTACACCTTCCCTTCAGGTATTTATATACATCAGTAACATCCCCCTGAGCTTTCCCTTCTCCAGGCTGAATAGCCCCAGCTCTCTCAACCTTCCTCATGAGAGATACTCCAGTCCTTTCATTATCTTTGTGGCCCTTCATTGCACTTTCTGGTGTGTGCATTTCTCTCTTGTACTGAGGAGCCCAGCACAGGACACAGCACTCCAGGTGTGGCCTCACCAGTGCTGAGTAGGGGGGAAGGATCCATGGATCTGCTGGTGACGCTCCTAATGCAGGCCAGAAAGGGCAAGGGCACATTTCTTGCTCATGTTCAACTTGCAGGACCTCCAGGTTTTTCTTCGAAAAGCTGGTTATCCCCCAGCATGTACTTGTGCCTGGAGTTCTTCCTCAGGTGCCTGTGCAGGACTTCACACTTCCCTTTGCCGGACTTCACAAGGTTCCTGTCAGCCCAGTTCTCTGGCCTGTCAAGGTCTTTCTGAATAGCAGCACAATCCTCTAGCATATCAGCCACTCTTTCCAGTTTTGTGTCTTTAGCAAACTTGCTTAGGGTACACTCTGCCCCATCATCCAGACCATTAATACATGTTTCATATGGATTGTTTTACATTGCTGTAGATGTCTACAGAATAGATACTTCTGTCTAAACTAGCTGTCTGGACTCTTTTCATAGCAGTAAACGGGCTTGCCCAAAGCATAATCCATTCAAGATTGTACCCAGGTAGTGGTCTTCATCTCGGTGAGTCATAGAACAATCCTAGATGAATGTCTGAGATGCAGCTGTATAAACTAAGTGAAATGCATCCCACTCTCTCTGACCATAGCCTGCAGTATTTGCTGAGACCAAACTGCTGCTCAGCATGAAATTCTTCCCAAAATCAAAGGCACGACCTAATGGCATTAGATTGGCCACATGACAGAGTCCAGGAGTAGCAAGTCAGTGCCTTGTGGGAGTTGACCTCATAGCTCAGAATGAGTTGTTTTGTTAGTATCCAACTGGGGAATTCTGTGTTACGGGAACTGAGAACAAGCATTAAAGGCTCATCTTCATCTATATTGTCCCCATTTTCTTTTTCTGCCTTCCTGTAAGGTAGCACAGAGCAAATTACTTGCAAATTACGAAACAGAAACTTCACAGGGCAGAAAATGAAGACACAACTGAGGATGCCTTTTTATTGTTCTCCTAATTCTAGTGTGGGCTGAATTACTATTGCAGTTATTACAGTGTAAAATGATGAGGTAATAAATAGCCCTATTTGAAAGAAATGAACCATTGGGGAGAAAAATATTGAAGCATGTCCAGAATTTTTCCTACTTTACCTAAAAATAATCTGCCACATTTGATGCAAAAATGTATTTGTGAGCTTTCCATAATGAGCAGCGAATAGCAAAGACAAATCATCCTAAACAGATCCATTTCAAGTACAATATTTAGTAGCCCAAAGCGGTATTGGCAAGAATACAGGACATTCTCCCATTTTTGAGAGCCATGAAATTCTCACTCCAGTCAGAAGTTCATATTCTTCTCGTGGACCTTTCTGATCTCCACAGTTTTTCTCTCTGGCTACAGGATTATCTGCGCCACCTTCTCACATGATGTCCCCTAATCCCCAGTAATTAGAACCCAGTCTGGATGCTGAAGTACCAGTTTCATTCCCTCATACAGGCAACCTGAGATCCATCACTGTAATTCATGCAGCTATATAAGTTCCCTTGTGAATCTTGCTAGGTTAAGGCCTCAGCCATGTTCTGTGGCCATGAATGGATAAAATTAGGAATATTGATTACTATTTGTCCTTATACTGCAGATCAAGACTCCTGCATAGTTCCTGAACTGCCAGTTCCAGAATGACATGAGGTCTAGTTTGTTAACAGAAGATAGCATCTCCTGCCCATGTTATCCTTGGAGGCAGTTTGAATTCAGTGCAAGTTTAGGTTCTTAGAAACCCTGTCTGCATTTGGGTTTAGTGATCTCTAGAAAGAGCATCAGATTAATTAGACTTCTTAATATGATCCAAGACACATCCCCAGAAGAACAGACAGAGTAAGTAGAGACTACAGGTGTCCGTGCAGCGGCTGATATGCCCCTGAGCAGTTTCTGAAGCTCAGGTCACAGAAGAGGTTTGCTGCTTTCTCTCAGAGCACTCTTTCCAACAAGGAGTGCGGCACTGTGAATTTGTCTCCAGGTCTGCTATCTTGTATTGCAGAGTAGAAGCTGCCTGTGAAGCCAGGAAGTGCTAGGCTGCCTTTTCTAAGCTGTCATTTTATCACATTGTTTCTTCTTTGTCTTCCTTTTAAGGCAATGAATTAAATATTTACAAAAGTGGATTACAGATCTTTCAGTCAATAGCAAAAGGAAAAACCTGAACATAAAACTGAATGTAATCAGTTAAGTGGCTTTGTGTTGAGCTATTGGTTTGTTTGAAAGCATATGCTTTCAAACTGTCCAAAGCAGCATGCTCAACCTACGGCCACCCAGGCCTAGTGCGGTCAGAAGCCGTCTCCTTGTCCCTTTCGGAACATGTAAAAGAGCTTGATTAACTGCCTCCCCCCATCCTTCTTCCACATGTTGATGGGATCTCCTCAGTCTTATACGGTTGCCCTCAGTCCTGGGCATCCTTGGCTTGGTGCTGCTTCTCAGCCTGTACAGTAATTGCTAATGTTTATCAGGGTCACAGCTAAGACAGCACTGAGACTGAAATAAAAGAGATAATCTGTTTGCAAAGGTGATGTAAAAGCTGATAGGGCCCAGTAGAACTGTGTACCAAAGGCAGGTGGCTGAAGCAGCAGCAGAATGTTCAGCCTGTGGCTCAGCTAGCACTGCTTCATGTGCAGACTTCTGTGTTTGTATTGCTTCTCATTTACATTTTTTTGTAGATGGAAAAGGACATGAGAAGCGACACAGAAGAAAGTGACAAGGATGAAGAGAGAGAAAAGATTAGTGAAAAGGAGAAAAATGGGATCACATATTTCAGCAATGCCACAAGCAACAACTATATCCAGAGGAATGAGTCTGAGCCACTGAACAACAGAAACCATCTCACCAATGGCCATGTCAAGGAAAGATAGCAACTGCTCACACGCTTCTGATCTGGTCTTTAATGAATCCAGTGCACTGTCTTTAGAAACACTTTTACTCACTATGTAGATAATATGGAGTGCAATTGCAGTATCGTAGCTGAATTCCTGCTTTCCGTAAACAGAAGTGTTTATAGCCAGCAATATTTGAAGGAAGTTTTGGGTCGTTCTTCAATAAAAATTTACTATAGGTTGTAGCCTTGAAGCAGATAGAAAGGGATCAAAGTGGTTTGCCTTTTATTAGACTGTACCATAGCTGTTAATCTTAAAAATACTTTAAAAAGAAAAAAGGTGGGTAAACTCTGGCATTTTCAAGTCTTAACCACCTAATGTTGTTTAGTAGGAGTCTGTTGAGCTTTGATCAGCCTCTGGAGGCCCTGGCCCATTGGCACTAATGATTATGGCTAACAAGTGTAAGTCTCTGAATCTTAGTACGGGGACACCTCTTTTGAGAAGGCAGGTGCCCCATACACACTCAGAAAATTAAAACTGAACATAAATTAAAACTCAATATAGTGGAATGAAAGCTCTGGAAAGACATAAGAAAAAACATTTTCTTCTCAAAGGAAATGCTGCTCTGTGCCATATGACCAGTTTTGAAATTGTATGGATCTCGGGTCCCTGCTGTTGTCAGCGTTATTGCCACAAAAGTGGGAACTCCAAAGCCCAGATTGGAGAAAGTACCCACCCAAATCATAGTTGGAAGAGCTGGAAAATCCAGGCAGCTATGTCTCAACTGTCAGGTAATCCTTTAAACTTTGGAAGGAAGGGCAGTCAGAAGAAAGGAGGTGACGAGGAACTTGATAGTTGAGAAGACAACACTGATTAAGTGCTCATGTTTTCACCTGGTGTGATTTACACAGTAGGAAATGTTTACAGAGTCAGCTTGTGGCAAGAAGAGAATACATTTCCCCTGTCTTCAGAGGAAAAAAAGATCAGAAAAGATCTGCTGAACCTTATGGAATAATGCTTTAATGTGGCCTTCTAACTTTAGGGCCTTTGCCTAGATGTATAAAGAACAGCAAATTTAAAGCTGTAGTCCATGAAGTCGTGATGCAGTTCTGATCCAATTTGTTTAGATGTCAAATATCTTATGTACTGTGTAGTCTGAGACTTTGGATTCTGTAATTCCTTTTAAGAATGATGCGATCATTAATTAGTATGATGCAAATTTCTGCTTTATAGAACAATTTACCTGTGAAACAAAAGTATTAACAGATTCATTGTAATGAGTGCACGGACATAGACTGCCAAGGCCATGCAGACACTTCCCTATATGTGCCCAGTAAGGGCCAGTGCTAACTAGGGGGGGCATGGACCAAGGAAATGCCTGATTTGAGAAGGTCATGAACATGTTTAAAATTAAAAGGCAAGTGACAGCATAGATGGCCACGAGGGTTTTCAGCAATCCACTCAGTTCATTTGAGATGTGACTGAGAGAGCTTTAAACTGAGCTTGTATGTGCTCATCTTAGGTTTTGGTCAAAATCTATTGGATAATTTCAGATGGGGGGTGGGAAAATGGTTCCAGCATGGGTGATTCCAGGGCAGTAACATGCTCTGGGAGGAGAGCATCTGTTTCTGCATTGTCATTTGAATTCATATTTGCTGAAAATAATTTGTCTCTGAAACCTCCAGCTAATATGAGGGTCGAAGAGCATGTACTGTAATGCTGTCATGTTTCGTTAATTTGAGTCTACAATCTTTCCACTCCTCTGCAGATGATGTGTTCAGGAGAGATGGTTATATATCATTTTGTATTAAGGAATGTAAACGTTCTTTATAAATTACTTTTGAAAGGTTTGATTGTCTGGACTCTTTTCTGCCTCTCTAACTAGCAGGAGGTGACCTGGCTAGTTTCGCGTGTAGGTAAATGTGTGATGAGGGAAGACACGTGCCAAGGCTGGTGGTACACCTGCAGCGTGTGTGGAGCAGATGTTGCGTACCCAGGACACGCAGTCATACTGGGCCATGCCAGTAGAGAACTGCAGCCACCTGATTTGTCTCCTACTAGATAAAGCTGCTTTTGTCCCTGGAACAAGGGACACTTTGGGGCACCCCTACGCTAGACCTAGGGGCGGGCCATGTTACTTGGTACTGTCAGGGCAGTGGCAAGTCCAAGATTGCAGCACTGGGGAGATGCTTTGGACTTGCAAAGACAGGAGGAGAGAAACTAATGTCCCTGTTCAGGAGGTTTTAGAAGGTGAGGAAAGATCCCTGTTGTAAAATCACACCACCTCTGACCTGAGGAGCAGAATGCTTCCCAGAGACTGCACAATGCACTGTGGAGCCATTGTAGACATATGTTGATGCCAGCTGAATTTTAGCCTCAGGGCTTTCCTGTACCCCTGAAGACTGAGATAAGCTCATTAGGATGCAAATCTGCTTCTTGTGAAAGGATGCATCAAGGACTCAGGAGAGCTGTTGGACTTGATTAAGAACTACTGAGTGCTGCTTTTAGCTGAGGAACTGAGCATGGCAGTGATGAGTCACTGGGGCGGATCAACTGCCGAATTTGTTTTCTTGCCATCACCTTGCTACGGCTTAAAGAAGCTCTGTATGTAATCAGCTTCCTCCCCGTGTTGCTCCACCTTCTCACTTCATGTCTGCTCCAGTGTTGGAAGCTTATGAGTGCTGTGATAGTATCTATGAATTTAGTATATCAACTCCCTCCACCTCCTCCATGCTACAGGCATCCCAGCCCCCAGATTAGAGAAGCTGTGTAGAAAACCTGCAGCAAGACTGTCAACTTGTCTGCTGAAAAACCCTGCTGAGCAGATGGAGCACTGAGCACAACAGCAGAATCTATTTCCCCATAACTTTATCACCCCATGTGCACAGGGGAGGCATCACAGTGCATGCCTCATAGAATCACACAATCATCTAGGTTAGAAGGAACCTTCAAGATCATCTAGTCCAGCCATCAACCTAATTCTGACCAAAAAAAAAAAAAAAAGAATCACTAAACCCTAAACCATGTCCCCCAGCACCATGTCAGCCCATCTTTTGAACACCTCCAGGGATGGTGCCTTAACCACTTCCCTGGGCAGCCCATTCCAAGGCTTAATAACCCTTTCAGTGTAAAATTTTTTCCTAATATCCAATCTGAACCTCCCCTGGCACAACTTGAGGCCGTTTCCTCTAGTCCTGTCACCTGTTCCTTGGGAGAAGAGACCACCCCTGCCTCGCAACAACCTCTGATCACATAATGTTATCAAGCAGTTGTGGGAGATGAGGCATTCAGCTCCAAGTGAGCGACAAGAAAAATAGTGTTTATTGGTGCTCCCAGGGTGCTGTGTGGTGGGTGAGTCAAGGACTGGCAAAGCACAGCCCCCAGGCTGGCATCTGGCCATCCTGGCCCAAAATTGTAGCTGACTTGAATCTGCTGATTCCAGTAGAGGTGGACAGCTAGTGCTGTTTTAAGAGCAGCTTGGTACGATGATTCCATTCCCACTGCACACACTCAGGAAACATCAGAGATGTGCATCCACCACAATTTTCATTTAGACACGTATGCCCAAGGAAACTTTTACTTGGATGGCTACACTTTGAAAGACATCGCTTTTCTCGTTCGCACGTGTACAAGAGATACACTGCCTGTATCCCTAAGCACCAGCAAGCCGGTGTTCAGAAAGCTGAAGTCATGTCTAAACAAGGAAAGTGGAAAGGACCTATAACTTTGGCAGATTAATGTGAGCATGCAATAAAGAGGCCAAGAAATAGCTTGAGAAACAGCTTGAAAGGTAATACCAGTCTCTGAAACACTGGAAAGACTGCAGGAGTCACAGATAATCGAGGCATATGGCAAAAACACTGAAACAAGATAAGGTTAGAGCCAAAAAATTCCATGAGCTGCCTGCCTATGACTTCCCTGCTTAGAAGCTTAGAGAGGGCCCAGTACCTGACATCTTGCTGAGGTCACATCTTAAGAGGATCCATCTCAAGCTGATGGGTGAGAAGATGTTCTACAGCAAACAGACTAACTGAACAGTAGCAAACCTTCAAATCTGTGTGGCATTCACTCAAGTATCAAGAGGAAACTCATTCTAAAAGGAGTTAAACTACCAACTACCAATGGCATTTTTTGTTTTGAATCATTTTGTTGTCAGAAAAATTTAAGATCGTTCTAAGAATGTGAGGAGCTACAGCCATCTGTTGTGTGACATCCAAACTGGTCAGACCAGTACAAAGTATAATAAATGTTGGAATTTGTGGAAACATGAACATAACATTATAGGGAAGAGTCTCCATGGGTTGTATATGAGGAAATTATGTCTCACTCTGCTGGAGTTATCCCAAAGAGTCAGTGAGCACATGCAGAGGAGAGAACCTGCTACCTACTCAGCTTTGAAAAGGCATTCAGAAAGGGCTCTCCCCACAGACTTACAGAAATCCACCTGAGGTTACTGGGAGAGACCAGCAGGGATTTGATATTTTGTAGCTATGTATTGTTGCAGGTGCCCCAAAATGGGGTAGGGAAAGGCGGATGGTGAAATTGGTTGATAATGGAAGTTACGATGATGATGATGCAGACTGACTGCAAGCAGTTGCAGAAGGACTTACAGTAATGAGACTGAGTGATAAAACAGAAGTGAAATTGAATATGGAGGAGAGCAATGCAGTGCACATGGGGAAGTGTCCTGAGGTGCTGAGCTGAGTGTTAGCTCTTCTGAATAGTTTTGGGGAGCAGTATATCACTTTACTGCTCAGTATGTGACGGTTCAAAATGCAACTAGGATATGGGGTGTTGCTGGGCAAGATGGAAGAATGAAAACTGAGACTGATGGGGCCCTAAGGGTGCCATAAGATCTTAATGGCTGTTGCCAGTCCCCCCCTGAGACTTCCATCCACACCCTCTGCCAGGTGTCTGAGCTGATGAACAGGTGAGGGCTTTGCAGCCTGGGAGGGAAAAGGTTGGTAGAAAGAGGGAGCAAGAGAGAAGCTCCTGCTGTTACTGTCACTACGTAGGGACTTCAGTCATCTGTACAGCAGAGTGTAACTGAAGGTAACTCCACCACCTTGACACCCACTAAATTACTTTCTTGTACTAGGACATCTTGCCCCACCTCCAAGACAGGCAGGTCAGAACAAGTAATGCTATTTCAGCTACTCTGAAGTCATACTCATGGGATCGAGTGAGAGGTGGGGAGTGTGAATGACAAGCTGTTGAGCTGGGAATCCTGATTGAGGAGCGAGTCTTATGCCTTGCTGCTACCTGCTTGCCGAGTCCCAGAGCCTCTGCTTTCTGCACCCACCATCTGACCAGGATGGGACTGTCAGAGGGGTTCTGGCACCATGAATACTGGCTGCCACCTGGAGCTACCTGGGAAGACATGAAGGGTATACAGTACCCGCAGCCTCAGGACCTCTTGCTCTGCATCCCCGGTGCCCTGCTCTTGATCACTGTCCGATGCATCTTTGAAAGGTGAGCGCAGCAAATCTGATTTCTCCTGTGCTGGTTGCTACCAGTGTCTTGCAGGGTTGCTCCAGACTAATCCTTACCTGCTTCCTGACCACTACAAAGTGGACAGGGGATTATCCCCAAGAATAATGGAATCTCCACTTTTTGTGACATATGGTATTTGTGTGGCAGCTTTGTCCTGCCCTCCCTCTCGCCTGTACCTGTAACGTAACCTGCACCAGCAGGTGTGAAAAGGCAAGTCTGTCCATCGGTCACACCGTGGCTGTGGGTGGAGGGTCCCTCTGGAGAGGGAGCTTGCCACACAGATAAGAAATCTTCTGGGTACATCAGTGTTGGGAGCCCCCAGCTGAGCCAGGGTTCAGCTTGATCCTATAGGATGCTCCTGAATGTGAGCCCCCATTCTCAGCACAGAGGCAGAAGGAGGAGATGACCATGGCTCTTGGAGCTCATTGTGGGACCGCTTTGCTCCGACCACTGCTCTTTGCCCAGCTCTGCCCTGCTCTCCTTTCTCAGCAGCAGAGATCCCCAGTTCAGTCAGAGATGATGTACTCTAGTGCCCTAGCTGAGGGAAATCGTCCTCCCCAGGGAATCCTGGAGGACTGACCGGCGTCTCCCCAGGACCCATGTGTAAACGAGGTAGGTCCACATGGCTCAGCACAGGAGATGGATTCAGAATGGGCTTTGGGGCCTTTTTCCTGAGGACCCAACATGTGGGGAGGTACAGACCAACCTCATGCAGGAAATCAGGGAGCTGACCGGGTAACGCGGGGCAGTTTGCCAGCATGGGCAGAACTGCTGAGGTACGTCCCCACCAGGCAGAGCAGGACTTCAGGCAGGGGGTGCTCAGCAAAGCTGCTCTCAGTTGGGACATGAACTTTCTCCTGTGGCCTAGAGGAGCTGGGGAAGCACTGGCCCATCTCCCTGGAGACCTGGCTTCCCCCAGCTGTGGCAGAACCTGTGGCAGACAGGGGCTGCACAGAGTCAGAATTTATTCCAGGGTCATCAGGTCTTCCTTCAAAGGTGTTGCACTTGCCTGGCTTCCTAGAAACAAGATTTTAGAAACCTGTGCCTCCCACTAGAGCCTTGCTGGCGTTTCCTGCAAAGCTAGTGTTTCCTGTAGTAACCAGCACGTCCTCGTGCTGGTTACTCTGTCCCTGGCTCCTGCTTTAGCTCAGGGTACCCTGAGCACAGAGCACATGGGATACTCAGACACTTGCAGACTGGTTTCATGACATGGTCTGGACTGCTTGGGGCATTGTAAAGGTGAAATATAGAGAAACATAGAGAAATGCAAGGCATCTTGGGGCCTCAGCAGAGGAATTAATTATTGCTCATTTTGTAGTTGCTGTTATTGTCTCCACTGCACATCCAGCATTCCTCACCTTTGCTTTGGTGCCAGTGTATCTCTCAAGAAAGAACATTGATCTGACAGACGCACTGGGCTTCCCGTGTGCCCCTGGAGCAGTACTGGGTCCCTTGGGCTGTGCGTGTACAGCTGGGGTAGTGCTGGACCCCTTGGGCTGGGGGTGTGAGCACTCAGGGCAGTGCCGGACCCCCGGGGCAGCACAGCCATACACAGGATATGGCACTGCCAGGGTCTTGCTGCACAGGCACACACGTCCTGTCCTGGCTGAACTCTTTCCTCTTGCAGAACTGTAGCTCTGCCCTTGGGCCGGAGGTTGGGTGTGAGTGACAAGCTGAGGCCCAAACTTCAGCCCAGTGCCACACTGGAAGACTTCTATGTTCTGCTGGGCAGGACCCCGAAGGAGGTGAGTGTCCCCTTTGCCCCAGTGTCCTGAGAGCCCAGGCGAGCAACCTTCTCTCTGTCCAGATACCCCAGCCCAACCAAACCAGCCTCACAGGCAAGTCAGTTACTGCTAGCCACCCTCCCAGGGAAGAAAAAATATAAGCAAATATTTCAGCATCTCCCAACGTCTTCAACAGCTGCAGTCCCAGCACCTCCTGAGCTGCTGCCTATCAAATACAGCAGGTAGTGTGAGAGCTGCTGGCTCTGGTAAGGAGGCAGCCATCACCCCCTCTGGGTGGAGTCTATGAATAAGGCTCCTTATTTTTAGCAGAACTACAAGTCCTTCAGAATCATGGAATCATTTTGGTTGGAAAATATACGTAAGATCAAGTGCAACCATAAACCTAACACTGTCAAGTCCATCACTAAACCACGTCCCTCAGCACCACATCTAACAGTCTTTTAGATACCTCCAGAGATGGTGACTTCACCACTTTCCTGGACAGCCTGTTTCAAGGCTTGATAATCCTTTCAGTGAAGAAATTTTTCCTGATATCCATCCTAAACCTCCCCTGGCACAACTTGTGGCCATTTCCTCTTGTCCCATCACCTCTTCCTTGGGAGAAGAGACCGACCCTCCTTTCAGGGAGTTGTAGAGAGCGAGGTGTCCCCTCAGCCTCCTTTTCTCCTTCATTGCCCTTCTCTGGACATGCTCCAGACCCTTGAGGTCTTTCCAGTCCTGAGGAGCCCAAAACTGGACACAGCCCTTGAGGTGGGGCCTCACCAGTGCCCAGTAGAGGGGGATGGTCACAGCCCTGGTCCTGCTGGCCACACTATGACTGACACAGGCCAGGAGGCTATTGGCCTTCTTGGCCACCTGGGCACACTGCTGGCTCATGTTCAGCTGCTGTCGACCAACACCCCCAGGTCCTTTTCCCCAGGCAGTTCCAGTCACTCTGCCCCCAGCCTGGAGCATCCATCGGGTTGATGTGACCCACGGGCAGGACCCGGCACTTGGCCTTGTTGAACCTCATCCCCTTGGCCTCAACCCATCCATCTAGCCTGTCCGTATCCCTCTGTAGAACCTTCCTACCCTCCAGCAGATCAACATCCTGCCCAGCTCGGTGTCATCTGCAAAGTTACTGAGGGTGCCCTCGATCCCCTCATCCAGGTTGTTGATAAAAGTATTAAACAGAACCAGCCCCAATACCGAGCCCTGGGGAACACCCCTGTGACCAGCCACCAACTGGACTGAACTCCATTCACTCTTTAGGTCCACATCATGACTCACACTGATGCATGAATTTTAAAAATAATTTTTTACTTAAATTTGTGTAAAGAATTGTCAGATTAATTAAAAAATGTTAATGAGCTCATCTTTACATTCATTTTAATCACAGTTTGTAAATCTTAAGGCTAGGTAGTTTTATTTGGAATTCATGCATAAAATAAAGCATGTTGGAAATGATGCTTTTCAGCCTGTGTGTGGGCAGTTGCTCAAACAGCTGGATGTTTTTTCTGACATTACTGAATGAACTATGTGCTTGTTTCTTTATTATCACAAGCTAAAACTTCTTTTATCTTCAAGTTGCTACCTGTAATTATCAGTCAAAATTACATCAGTGTTGGGAAAAAAAAATATTTAGACTTTTATAGCAAAGACATTGCATGCCATTGTGTACAGCTGTCAAAATTCAACCAGGGAGAGCCTGTGCTTTCTTTTGAACCTGCATTTAGATATGCCTGAATTGGAGGTTTAAAGTGGCCAAAATTATTTGTGAGTTCACAAATGCAAATAGAGCTGATATGATTTTTTTCCCAAAGAAAGGTGTTCTTCAGGGAAATATAGATCCGCAGAGGCAGCCTGCTGGAGCACAGCTCTTCCCACCCACATGGGGACAGCCTTGGAAGGCTAAATCCTGCTTCCCTGATCTGCTTTCTAGGGGGACCTTATTTCACTGTCCAAGCAAAGTGGCCTGCCAGTCAAAAAACAGTCTTTTAGATACCTCCAGAGATGGTGACTTCACCACTTTCCTGGACAGCCTGTTTCAAGGCTTGATAATCCTTTCAGTGAAGAAATTTTTCCTGATATCCATCCTAAACCTCCCCTGGCACAACTTGTGGCCATTTCCTCTTGTCCCATCACCTCTTCCTTGGGATAAGAGACCGACCCTCCTTTCAGGGAGTTTTAGAGAGCGAGGTGTCCCCTCAGCCTCCTTTTCTCCTTCATTGCCCTTCTCTGGACATGCTCCAGACCCTTGAGGTCTTTCCAGTCCTGAGGAGCCCAAAACTGGACACAGCCCTTGAGGTGGGGCCTCACCAGTGCCCAGTAGAGGGGGATGGTCACAGCCCTGGTCCTGCTGGCCACACTATGACTGACACAGGCCAGGAGGCTATTGGCCTTCTTGGCCACCTGGGCACACTGCTGGCTCATGTTCAGCTGCTGTCGACCAACACCCCCAGGTCCTTTTCCCCAGGCAGTTCCAGTCACTCTGCCCCCAGCCTGGAGCATCCATCGGGTTGATGTGACCCACGGGCAGGACCCGGCACTTGGCCTTGTTGAACCTCATCCCCTTGGCCTCAACCCATCCATCTAGCCTGTCCGTATCCCTCTGTAGAACCTTCCTACCCTCCAGCAGATCAACATCCTGCCCAGCTCGGTGTCATCTGCAAAGTTACTGAGGGTGCCCTCGATCCCCTCATCCAGGTTGTTGATAAAAGTATTAAACAGAACCAGCCCCAATACCGAGCCCTGGGGAACACCCCTGTGACCAGCCACCAACTGGACTGAACTCCATTCACTCTTTAGGTCCACATCATGACTCACACTGATGCATGAATTTTAAAAATAATTTTTTACTTAAATTTGTGTAAAGAATTGTCAGATTAATTAAAAAATGTTAATGAGCTCATCTTTACATTCATTTTAATCACAGTTTGTAAATCTTAAGGCTAGGTAGTTTTATTTGGAATTCATGCATAAAATAAAGCATGTTGGAAATGATGCTTTTCAGCCTGTGTGTGGGCAGTTGCTCAAACAGCTGGATGTTTTTTCTGACATTACTGAATGAACTATGTGCTTGTTTCTTTATTATCACAAGCTAAAACTTCTTTTATCTTCAAGTTGCTACCTGTAATTATCAGTCAAAATTACATCAGTGTTGGGAAAAAAAAATATTTAGACTTTTATAGCAAAGACATTGCATGCCATTGTGTACAGCTGTCAAAATTCAACCAGGGAGAGCCTGTGCTTTCTTTTGAACCTGCATTTAGATATGCCTGAATTGGAGGTTTAAAGTGGCCAAAATTATTTGTGAGTTCACAAATGCAAATAGAGCTGATATGATTTTTTTCCCAAAGAAAGGTGTTCTTCAGGGAAATATAGATCCGCAGAGGCAGCCTGCTGGAGCACAGCTCTTCCCACCCACATGGGGACAGCCTTGGAAGGCTAAATCCTGCTTCCCTGATCTGCTTTCTAGGGGGACCTTATTTCACTGTCCAAGCAAAGTGGCCTGCCAGTCAAAAAGGTGGAGACCTGGTTCCGGCACCGGCGGGCCCAGGACCGGCCTGGGCTGATGAAAAAGTTCTGTGAGTCCAGGTAGGTGGCCAGCAGAGGCTTTTGGTAACGGAGACCTCCAACAAGGTCTGCACACCATCACCATCCCTTGCCCTGTCCTTAGCCCCAGACACAGTCCCAGAGGACCACGCTGCCAGCTGCGGCTGCAAAAGGAGGCTTTGTACCATGAGGCTGTGTCCCATCACTACACACACTGGCAACAGAGCCACCGTGCAGTGCTGCCAGCTTCATCCTTCCTTCCTTTCCCCTTTTAACTTTAAAAAGTTAAAGTTACCTCAAAAGAGTCCACTGGCCTTTATGCAGATCAGGTTTAAATCTCAGATGCTGGAGGGGCTCTGAGCAGCAATGCTATTTGTAAAATGCATCAAACTTCTTTCCAAGATGATCTTGATACTAAATTAAAATTTTAAAATATTCTCAGGATGGATTATTGGATATACAATGAATCCATGAGGTGCAGTTAGTAGGCTGTGCAAGCCACGAACAGAGTGAGGTAAAAACTGAATAACACTGGAAAGCACTGAAATCCTTGTAGCATTCCTTTTCCTCAATCTGTGTGCTCTCTCATTAAATCTTCCTGCGTGTCTCAGCAATAGATGGAGTCAGAATGCAGAAAGTAGTCACCAACTCTATCAGTCAAAAGAATCAGGTTCTCTCTGGTTCTCAGCTTGAGGTTTGATGCTATATGCACACAAAGACCCCCCTCAAGTAGAAGATCTACTCTCCGTCTGAAAAAAACCCAGTGCTTGAACACTGTTATTATGCTTTTTAAAAAATCTTCTCCTGAAATCTTGGTCAGTGCTCCTCACTCTGCAGCATTTCTGAGGAAACTGATAAAACCCCCAGTATTCCTGTGCCATCACTAGCAAAAATTCAGTGCCTCGCCCAGGCTGTGGTATAGAAGCATTTGCACAGGTCATTACAAACACCCAAACAAAAGGAGACAGGTAGAGGCATCTCGGTACTCATACTGCATCCTGCTTAGTGTTGATGGAGTACACCGGGAATTTGGGCTCAGCATGGATGGAAGCAGAGCCTGGGAGAGCTGTGGGTCCTGTTGCTGTTGTGTGCATGCACAAACAGAGCTGACGTGCTTCAAACCCCTGTCCAAACAAGCATAGGTTCCCCTGTGGGCTTTGCAGTGTCCTGGGCACAGCCTGAGGAGCTATTCCAACTCTGGAGGAAATTTTAATTCCCTTTTTTTCTGTTTTAGCTGGAGATTTACATTCTATTCAACTTCATTCTTCTCTGGGCTGGCTCTCCTGTACGATGTAAGTACATGAGCAGGGTGATGCTGTGGAGTGACACCTTTCAAGGGTTTGTCATTCATGGCAAATGAGGCCAATGGTCCTGGGCCATTTCAAAGAGCCCCTCCAAAGATCATGTGTGACTATGACTAAGGGTCCAAAGCCAAAGAAGGACAAATTCAAGGGCATGGAGCAGAACCATCCCCAGTCCTGATCCAGGTTTACCCCCCTTTCCTTGGGTAAACCTGGCTAGGTATCAGTGATGTTACCATGGTTTTCTCCTTGTCTTAGATCATTGTCTGATTCCTCACTGATACCCACACACAGCCCTTGCATCTCAACCAAGAGCAGACCATGTCCTGGCTGGGGCTGCTGCCCACTGCGTATCAAAGCCATCTGTGTGACATCCTGCGCATTCACTAATGACCAATGCATTTTGTCAACCACTCTTTCCAGAGCTCAAATGTAGATTGGATCTAGCATGGACATCCTGACTTCTCAAAGTACTTCTTCACATGGTCATTACATGTCATTGAAAGGCTACAGGTTCTTACTGCTGCCTTCTCTCTGCACAGAAGCCCTGGTTTTGGGATCATACTGTGTGCTGGCTGAGATTTCCACACCAGGTGAGCAGCAAGTACATGGATTCACAGGATAATTCATATTGGAAGGGGGACCAAGAGGTCTCTTGTCCAATCTCCTGCTCACAGCACTCAGCTGTGAGCTCAGACCAGCTTACCCAAGGCTTTCTCCAGTCTAGTTTTGAAAACCTTCAAGGATGGAGACAACACAAGCTCTCTAGGCAATCTATTCCACTGTTGGACTGCAGTCATGATGAAAATGTTTCTCCTTACATCCACCTCTCATTTCAACTTATGCCTGCTGTTTCCCATCCTTACATCATGCACCATGGTGAACAGCATGGTACTGTTTTCTTGACAAGCTCCTTGTAGGTACTCCATATGGATGGAGAGTGTCTGCCCTGAGCAGGCACCTCTTCTTAAGGAGTTTCTCTGTAACCATTGCCTGGCTGGAAGCAGCCCTATGTGTGTGGCCACAAAAGGAATCTGGTGGTCAGGACTTCCCTCAGCCTCTCAAAGCATGGATGGAGATGAGAGGTGTCTGAACCCCTGCAGAGCGGAGACCCCCACCTCCTCTCAGGCTGTCTGGCCAGGGCTGGTCCTGACTTTGGACCAGGCTTGACAGTGCATCAACAAACGGTTCAGTCACAGGGAAGATGAAAATTTAGGCATGAAGAAGCCCTGCTGTCCCAAATGATTGAATGAAGGGGCTTCCCATCCCCCAGGGCTAGGCAGGGGTGTCACACTGCCTGTCACTTGTCTCGCAGCCTCTCCCACCTGCTCTGGGCTGGTTCTACCTGCTGGAGCTCTCCTTCTACTGCTCTCTGGTGGCCACCCTACCCTTCGACGTGAAGAGGAAGGTGAGTGACAGCGGCACAACTGCAATGCGCTGGCTTGGTCCGTCCCTGTCATGAGGATCTCCCCTCCCGTTGTCAGCTCCCTGGGGATGCAAAGGACATGACACACATGCTGCTGCAAAGACCTCTGAGCAGGGGGTCTCCCTGCAGCTCTCATATCCCACCATTGCACCTGGCGCTGAGTCCCATTCCTGTGCAGCATGGCCTTATTGCCAGCTCGGCGAGGGAAGTGCTGAGAGCTGACATGGGATCTCCACACCTGGCCAAGGGACAGTCACTGGGTGGACATGATATCATGGCCCTTCCCAGCTCTGGTCTCAGGTGCCACCCTGCTCAGGGCTGTGTCCTCTTGATTCGAGGGAGCTAGGCTGTTGTGATGAGGGTACTGCATGTGTGGCCTTTGCAGCGTGGGATGACGTGAGATCTTGGGCCCCATGGACCCATCATCCACTGTTGCCATTGCCTTGGTCTGCAGCGGAGACCGCTCAGAGCCATATAGCTGAACTGCACAAGCTAAGGTTCAATCTCAGCTTCATTTGATTGTTTAATTTGATGATCACATCTCTCTTCAGAGACTACATGCTTTTCCCCCAGGCAAAGCATGTCCTGGGTCCAGAGAACCTGCAGAAACTTTGTATTAAAATTGCCAACACTTCAATAGTCTTTGTAGACAGGTCAGTTATTGGACATCTGCAATGCTCCCCAGAAGAAGCAGGAATACACTGCCCAGCAGTGATCCTCCCTGGGCCAGAGCTGCCCTTCCCAATCTCTCTAGCGCGGTGAGGAGTCACCTTCTCATATCCCAAAGCATTGACTGTGTGTACTTACAGATTTGTCAATGCAGGAATGAACCACCCAGCAAGGTCCTCTACATGAGAACGCGTATTCCCCACCTACAGTATCTCCACCCCATGGTCCCTCTTCATGGGCAGCACAGGGAGGTTGAAAAGCTGCCTCCATTATGGCTAGGACCTGCCCCAGGCAAAGAGCAATCTACTGCCGTTAGAAAAAGCTCTTCAGTAAACAGTGGAGGGGTCTGGGAGGAAAATATGGGGTGTTAAGAAAGTAATTTTGTAAGGGCAGATCGATTAATGGAAAACTTATAAAATCTGTCTTTTGACATGTTTGCACTTATGTGTACCTCACTGGTATTTGTCTGGATTTCCATGAACTGGGCATAAAGATGCTCATTCTTCTCGGGACTGTGCAGGACCTTATAGAGCTGTAGCAGAGGATGGAGCACTGTTGCTTTGTGGAGGTGTTTGGCATATCCTAGTGAGGCAGCAGCATCCAGGAACAGGTGTTCCCAGTCACAGTAAGAGTGACACATAATCTCTTTTCTCATGCCAGGACTTTAAGGAACAGATCATCCACCACATTGCCACCATCACTCTGATCTTTGTCTCCTACTGTGCCAATCTTGTACGGTTTGGGATGATAGTCATGCTGGTCCATGATGCCTCTGATTATATTTTAGAGGTGAGTTACCCTCACCCGTAAATGCAGATCTGTACTGGTGTCTGTGGGTAGCACTGGGAACTGTGTGCCTTACTACACATGACGCACGTGGATGCAGTGGCCCACACTCATACCAGTGCATTTAAGAAGTATCAGATTTACCGCTCTTGGGGAAAAGTGATCAAGTGCATGGGGTCTGGGACACACCCCCACAAGTCCAGTAACTCTTGCAGGACATGGGAAATCCCTCAGTCCCCTAGAAGGAGAACACAGGCACACAGGACATAGGGCACTTTGTCTCTCTACAGCTTGCCAAGATGCTCCATTACATGAAATGGAAGCGGGTCTGCGAAGCAGTCTTTATTGTTTTTGCTGTGGTTTTCATCATCTCCCGGCTTGTCCTTTTCCCGTTGATGTGAGTTATGTTTTAATGTTCTCTCAACATGGGTGTTATGTGCTATTTTTGCTTCTGGAGAGATGACCCTCCGTGCTGAGGGAAGGAAAGGCGGGGAACAGGACACTACAGGTAAGCTCAAAAATTAATCCAACTGGAACTGAGGAACCCCCCCCAAAAAACAACAGGTTTTTAACTATATTAATTAATTAACTAGAGCCACAGCCTCTGCCCCTCCATTCCCATGCTCTGACTGCTTCTCCTAGGCAGGGTCTATCTCTCACCTGGGGCTGTCTCTCATGCCGTGATAAGATGCTAACATGCAGCCACAGCAGCTGACTTCTCATGAGCTATTGTGGCACTGGGAATGTTTTAGAACTTCTTTCTCCATCTGCCTAAAGCCATCCCTATCACAGTCTGAGGGTATTCCTCCACTACTCCTGCTTAAGACCTGGTTTGACTCTTGCAGTGTGTAGGAAGTAGCCTCCTCCTGTTGCAAACACTGGTTCCTACAAGAGAAAAAAGGTACAAACTGTACTGCTTCGAATTTCCCAAGAATTTTTCAGCAGACTAAGGCCTGCTTAAAGCTTTATTAAGATAAAATTAGTATAGAAACAATGGCATACCCACCATTGGTGACCCACCATCTATCTGAAATAAAACAAGAAAATCATGAGTACAGACTAAGAATTCAGGAGGTAGGATACTTGATATGCTGGGAGGGTATCAACAATGGTTCCTCCAGAAGCCACACACAGGCACCAGTCTTGGGCAATGGCTTTTCTGATCACACTCCCAGCCTTTAACTATGCTGAAATTGTTCCCCTTTCTTTACCACTGCCAAGTTGCCTGGAAAAGGTGATCCCGGTTAACTTTCCAGAAACTCATTCCACAGCACTTATGTTATAGTTTAAGGTTTCTGTTTTCTTTCAAAACCAAACATTTCATTTATTACAGCCAGAAGAATTTTTCTTATACACACATAGGAACAAGTCTGCGTTTCTGTCTTCTGCTCCTGCCCTGGATCCATACCAACACTGAAGATGCTGAGTTTTGAATTTTTATCTTGCTGCCACTTAGTCTGGGTGCCTGTGAGGCTGACTTTGCATAACAAGTCCCAGGTTCTGCTGGTGAAATGGCTCCCTTTTAAAGAGAAGAAAAATAAAAGCTTGAGGCAATGTTCCCAAGAAAGAAAACAGAATAACCATGACTTCAGTGGTCTCCACTGCAAAAAGTCAAGTCCCGCTATCTCAACTTTTGTATCATACCATGAGGACAAAGAAGATAATAGATATGCCAGGTCAGACCACGGGTCCATCTAGATTAGCACCTGTCTGCATCAGCAGCCAGAAGCAAATGTCTAGGAGGACAAGAGCAGAGCAAATACACACTGCATCCAACAGTTTCAAATGTGTCTTAGATTTCATGTCTTAGATAACTTGTGGAACAGGACACGTACTAGTCTTTGTCATTTCTCTCCCAAGCTGAACCGCTCTCTGTTTCCTAACCAGTGCTTTCCTCCTGTCTGTCCCTGCCAGTTTCTGTGACCTGCAAAAATAATGCGCTGCCCAACTTTTCATCTGTACCCTCAACTCTTTCCTGACTTCAGTTAAAAAAATTAATTTATAATCTTTTTATTTTAGTGCCAGTGTTCGGGTCCCCTTGTTTAATTTTTGTCCATTGCTCCTCTCCAGATTTATTTTAGGAGAAATGCTGCCGGTTCTTGGTACTTCTGGGAAGCATTGCAGGTTTCTGATAACCGACCTCTCAGCAAAGACTATCGCATTGTTGGAGATTTTAATACAGAGTTTCTGCAGGTGCCCTAGGACATGCTTTGTGAGAGCTGGGCAGAGCATGGAGCCTGATGGTGCAGCCCTAGTACAGCTCAGCTCTATGTTGTGAATGGGTGATTTAGATCACTTAAAGAACTACTGTTAGCAAAGCAATTTTAATATGATGTTGCAAAGTGCAATTTCACAAAGTTCAATGGCAAGGTTCACTCTCTGCATGAGAAAACATATGAAGGAAAACTGAGTTACACTTGAGCTGAAATGATTCATAGAGAGATGGAGGACACAAAGGGTAAGGGAGGCTTTCCTGTTGGGTCACAAGGTTCAGAATGGACCCCCTTGCTTTCTAAGCTCCTTCACAGAGAGGAGTCTTAGTGCAGCTGTATCCAGATCATCAACATCAATTCAGCATGCAAGCAGTGTTACTAAGGCAAAATCAAAGTTACCATACTATGGGGTTATGCATGATATTGGTCACTTACCAAAGATCTGCTGTTGGTAAAAGGTCTCTCTGCCATCAAGAAGCAACAGTGAGAGGTGTCCCAGCTCAAGAGGAGAGCACTGCCATGCAGCCACGCTGCCGTGCAGGGGGAGCTCAAAGCCGGCTCACTTAGACTGTTATATTTATGGGATAAAGTGGTTGGCTTGTAGTCTAATTGCCTGCAAGAGAAGAGATATGCGTGAGACTCCTCGTACCCATCACTTTTTGATAAATGTTTTGGAAAAGCCACTATTATTTATGCATTAACCACATGATCGGTGTTCCAAACTCATCTGTATTGATGTTTACTGTGTCCTTTGTGGGTTTTTGGAGAACAGGTTGAAACTAGAGGAGTTCTTGGCCCAGCTACAGCTCAGGCCTTTACTTCCTTTGGAGCCTGTACTAGTTTGGTTAAGGGGTGGAGCACGTCCATCACCTCTGCCCTGGGGACACATGAGCCAAGTAGTTGCCCAGATAAGCATGAAGGTACTTATGCCTTCTGATTTGTCTCTCCCTCTCTCTTTTCCACAGCACATACTATTACTTTGTGACAAAATTTCAGTTGTTCCTTGTAAGCTGTGTGATAAATGCTTTCCTGATGGTCCTGCAGTTGTTACACATCTTCTGGTCCTATCTAATCATCCAGATGATCTTTGGTGTCATCCTCCATGGTGCGGTATGAAAAATCTTTGTCTCTTCTGTGCCACCAGTACTCATGAGAGACCATGAGATCCGGGGCAACTCCTGCATGGCTGCAGGAAAGGGGGTGGGAGAAATGGGACTGCTCGACCAGCAGCCTGAGAGCTTCTGAAGTCACCTGTTGGGAGTTGTGTAGATACCTTTGCTCATGGAGATCAGAGCAGCAACTCCTTTCTACTTTGCAGCTGTGCCCTAGTGACATGGGAGTCATCCGCATCCGCAGCCCTTTCTCCTCACTGCCTAACAGCTTTTCAGCTTTTTCTGAAGTGGAGTAAGGAAGGAGCAAACAGGTGAACCTGGTAGAGAGCACTCTGTGTATTTGCACCTCTGAGTTTTGGGTGCATTCCACAGTCTTTTGATGCATGCCAAAGTCTGTATAGGGATCACTGAAAGAAACCTTGTCATCAGAAATGCCAGTTCCCTGGCCTGCCTTGCTGACATAAGCAGGTGGCAACTTAGTAGCCTCTGAGTAGATTTGTGAAGGCTTTGGGCAGAAAAAAACCCCACCACAGTGCTGGTGTGTTGCTTTCAGCTTACCTTGAACTCCTTCATTGAAGCTAAATCAAGAGAAAAAGCAGTTTTTCTGGAGGAAATGATGGAGTTTGTGATCAAGTTTGTAGATGACTGTGAAATGAGGAGACCAGTCAATATGCTCACTGGACAAATACACAATGACTTTCAGAGCATTAGCAGTAATAAACTGCACAGGAAAATATGCAGATTAACTATACGTAGAATAAATACTAACTTACTTTCAGAAGCTCACATTACAAGAACATTATTAGGGCGACAAAAAAAGCGTTCAAAAGTTAGGTGAAACTGTAACAACGTCAACCTCTGGCAGTTTAAGTCCCAATGCAGGGACAATTGCAACACTGCTTTAAGGACATGATAATGCCTGTTATTTTTATTTTAGCTGTCAGGTATACACACCAGTGCTGTGAATGAAAACAGGACTGGTCCCCTCTAATATATACCAAGATACAGGGTTTGCATCTCATTTAAATTGTCTTTCCTCTAGAAAAGAAAAGATGCCAGAAGTGACACAGAGGAAAGCGACAGGAGTGAAGCAGAAGATCTCTCAAAAAACCAAGAGTGATACAGGTCTTGCTGCAAAATACCAATGACCAGGCAGATTCCCCAGGTCCCATTCAGCCTTCCAGCTTTTAAGAGAGAGGCCAGACTGGCTCACAGATGGCTTCACAATGGTCTGCCTGGGGCATCACCCGGTATCTAGATGGAAGTGAATTTCATCACAGAGTTTACAGGCAGTTAAGTCACTTCAGGAGATGTTTTCTTCACTTCTTCTGTTGGGACCATTCTTTTATGACTAATCTATGATCATTTATCCATGAAAGAAAAAAAAAAAAAAAAAAAAAAAAGGTCTACCACCCTAAGTCTCGCTGCAAGCAGAAGGGTTTAACAAGCTGCTGAAGCCAAAGTTAGGTGTTACAGCTATCTCAAAAAGGACTTATCTATTATATATCTATTTCGAGATAAGACTTCTAAAATCGAAAGCAATTGAAACTCTTCCAAATGCACACTTTTCTACTAGAAATTATCATTTAATCCCTATGGAAATTTTCCTTTTAGATATTTTCATTTTGTTGAGGTTTCATTTTCAAAATTGGAAAATAAGTATGTTACAATATTAACATTTTAAAAAAAAAAAAAAAAAAAAAAAAAAAAAAGGTCTACCAGCCTAAGTCTCGCTGCAAGCAGAAGGGTTTAACAAGCTGCTGAAGCCAAAGTTAGGTGTTACAGCTATCTCAAAAAGGACTTATCTATTATATATCTATTTCGAGATAAGACTTCTAAAATCGAAAGCAATTGAAACTCTTCCAAATGCACACTTTTCTACTAGAAATTATCATTTAATCCCTATGGAAATTTTCCTTTTAGATATTTTCATTTTGTTGAGGTTTCATTTTCAAAATTGGAAAATAAGTATGTTACAATATTAACATTTTAATGGGTTATTTTAGGGGTTGGATGACTTTTCACCTTGTAATATATTGTATCTGATGACATTTTCAGAATTTATAGTAGAACATAACATTTTAAGTCAATATAAAAATCAATTACACCTAAACCAAAGAGTCTGTTTTACCTACATTTTGCATGATGCAGAAGTTTTTTTTAGAGCATCAGACCTTACATCAGCAGAAAATCTCCTTAGAAACTTGCTGAAAGTCTGATATCATTGCCAACTCAAAGGGTCAAAAAATGCAGGACTGATAAATATACATATAGGTATTTTTGTCCATAAACAATATACAGAAACCTGCAAACACAGTCTTCAAAATACATTTTCTACCCAGGCCTTGAGTATGCTTCCAAGGTGCCTGATACATTTTACACAAGTGTCAGGGAAAACTTTCTGAGAAATGCAAAGAGGTGGAGAATGAAGCATGGTGCAACTAGAACACGCTGCTGTGAAGCACCATGGTCCATCTCCTACATCTGACCTCTGCAACTCACTATATGAATAAAGTGAGGAAAGATGTCCCAGAGGAAAGCAGAAGGCACTGAGCCAGCGTTACCTTGAAGGACGTTCAGAGCTGCAGCAAGTAATGCTGCAAGGCAGCCAGCCTCCCACCTCCATGGGACACTGACCTCGAGAAGGATGTTGCCAAGCCCCAGCTGGCTGTACTTTGCTGGGAGTGCAAGACTCCTCATTAGGATATGTGGTGCAAGGGTTTTCCCAGGAATCATTTCACACTGTCCACCAAGGATGATGCTTTCTTTCAAAGCCCTAAATGATACAGGAGGATCTCAGCTTTTAAAAGATTTATATAGCCTTCAGGACACAAGAATAAACTGGCCATCAGACTCAACCAACAGGCCCAACCTTTCATTGCTGCCAGCCTCACCATGGCCAAAGCACCCACTCTGCTCCCAGCATGGAGTTGGCAATGCCACAGCCTGGCTGGAGGCTGACAGATGGGCTATAGCCAAGGAGCAGAAGCCAGCCTGGATTGAGAGGGCTCCACATTTGCAGGCCTGGATAGACTATCTCCTGCCATCCTGACATAGCTCTCACAGTGGTATGGTTGACTTTTAACCAACACGTCTCAGTTTTTAAGGCCTCTCCCATTCTCTGAAGATGATAATCACTCATTTCAGGAACACTTTCCTTTCAACATTGCTGGGTCACATCAAAGAGCAGGCTCTGCTAACACAGATGACAGTAACATTTGCAGTGCAAGCCGTCAGGTCAGTGCTGTTGTGCTCTGCCCTTCTCGTCCAGTCAAGAAGACTTGTGTGACGGCCACTCTCTCAACTTCTACATCCTTGGGAAGCCTGAGCACCCTTGGACATCTACTCCCTACTGCTGTACTAAGCCCATCAAACCCTCTTCCTCATACACATTTTTTAATTAAGGGTACATGCACCTTACACCCTCATTTCAGTGCTTTGGGATAGTGATGTTTATTCTCCAATGGGCGCTAAGGAAACTAAAGCAAGACTCATTAAGTGCCCCAGTTCACAAATGGTTATCATCACATACCTGAATGCATAAATCCAGAATAGCCTCCTTCCTTCTGTGGTGCTCTCCAGCCTGGAGTAAAGGTAATTTTAACCACAATTACATAAGATGGGAAACTTGCTTATTTCAGGCTAAAATGATACTACTACTGTGTTGACTGCAGTGGTTGTTCGAGTTTTGGGGGTTTTTTGGCCCTGTCCTACAGCGCTAAGAGCTCATATATCTTGCTGAAGATTCCCGTGACACGGACTTGATTTATTACATTAGTCCTACAATATTTTCTAGCACTGATGCAATGACTTTCCTATCTCTCCCCAGCTGTTCAAAGGACAGAGACACAGGGAGGTTAAAGGTCAGAGGAGCCCTTTATTTAGCATCAATCCTAAGGAGTTGATGTACAATAATAATGCTGACCATAATTTTCAATAATGACCTGCAACTTTTGTGTTAACAACAAGGTTTCAATAACTTTTGCTTCAAGTTCATATACCTGATAGAAAAAAAAATACATAATTAAGAAGGAACAGATCTATTTTCAAAGCTAAATAAATTCACATATCAAATGATACAATCTAACTTTTTTTTTTCTGGTTATGCTGGATCTGACATCTCTCATGCCCATGTATCAAATCTTCGCACAGTAACACACCCATGAATAGGAAGGGGGCAAGGGAGTTTGTTATCTATGATCTGGCATGTATCAATGTAGGGATCAAAAAGGATTACAACAGGGAGAGCACTGTTCCCCTTCCTCTGTCCAAGGAGATAAATTCGTCCATTCACAGTGCTGCATCCCATGAAGAACTTCCGAGTCAAGCATTCCTCATCCACTTGGGTCCATTCATTGGTCTCCACATCAAATCGAAAAGCTCCCCCTCCTATGGTGTACAGAGCACCATTCAGAGATGTGATGCAGAGGTCATACCTGGGAAGGAAGAAACCCTTGATGAGAATCAATAGAAAGACGTGGCCCCTGAAACACTCAGTGTGACCTTGGCCCTCATATCAAGGGTCCTATTCAAACAGAGAATCACAGAAGTGTTGGTGTGCCAGGACTTGTGGATTTCTCCAGTCCAATTTCTTCTTGGAGCAGGACCAACAACAGAACCTTTCTTCTCCTTCCAAGTCCCAGAAGATTATTTCTTACCTTGGAAGTGGGGAAAATGAGATGACATCCCAACTGTCCGTCTCTGTGTTCAGTCTTTGCACTCCATCATATACATGCCCATTTTCATCCAGGCCACAGACCACATAGATCCTGGTCCCCACACTGACTGCATCTCCTCTCTCCACAGGCTGAGCCATAGGACTCACGCTTTCCCACTCTGACTCCATCAAAGCCATGCGCTCCACTGCTGGGATTATCCCTTCATCTGTGCTCCCTCCAAGTACATACAGGTAGAGCCCTGCACCTACCGCACAATGGCTATTGCGGGACTTCTTCATGGCAGGCCCTTCCAGCCAGCTATTGTCCAAGCAATTATAGATAAGCACCCAATCCACGCTATACCACACAAACTCATCCCGGAAATATCCTCCTGTCACAAAAAGGAAGCTCCCTGGAAAGACAGCAGAGAAAAGTATCAGTTAGACAAAACTGAAAATTGCTCCTGAGAACTGGAGTTCTCATTTCTCCCTGGGCTGTACTGAAGAGGTCTAAGAAGAGAAAATTACTGCTTTCTGTATTAGTCTGTAGTATTTTATTCCTCATCTGCACAGATATACTGGGCCTACAAGATGCACTAAGTCTTCCAAGCCTGCTCCCACTCTTGAACAGAATCATGGAAACACTGATTGGAAAGAGTCTCTGCGGATCTCGTGTCCAAACTCCTACTTGAAATGGGACTATTACCAACACTAAATAAGAGAAGCCATAGTACTGACCTGGCTTGAAAATTTTCAAGTATGGAGATTTTGCAACATCCATGGCTAAGTTTAACTTAATGGCAACTATAAATCAGAAGTCACCATCTGTGAAAAACCACCATGAAAGAGAAGGCCAAAAAAATATCCTGCTTAAAGCGAAGTCATTAGACTCACTCCAGATAAAACTAATATAAGGATTTCAATAGTTTCTGCTACATTAGAAGAAATATTCAGCCTTGTCTAAGATTCTCCTAGGACTAAGGAAAAAAAAACTTTCTATGAATGAATATGAACAAGGTTTTAGCAACACTGAACAATGCGGTTTTACAGAAGCAGCTGAACTCCTTGCATTTGTGTCTCAATTCCTGTTTGTACTTGCTCAGTCCCAGTCCTCTGTAAGTTACCTACTGATGCCACTGCATATTGGGTGAGGTTCCTGCGCTGCAGTGGAGAACAAGCCTGCCAGGTCCCTGTTTTAGGCTGAAAGAGAAATAATTCTTGCTGTTCCTTGTCATGCTTTCCTCCCAGAACATATAAGGTGTCATAGCTCCGACCAGTGTAAGGACACAGTTTCATATTTTGCCAGCTGGGTGGAGGACAGCTGTCTAACTTCTTTATTAGCCTGGAAAAGATGTTCGTCTCTCCAGGGTGCTTGCTGCGTTTCACCAAGACATCAAGGAAGGATAAACTCAGAAAAGTGACCCTGACTTCCTCCATCAAATCCAGAAAGTCTTCCTCTCTTGTTGCTGGGTCCTCCATTATCCACCTCATAATACTGTCAAAAACCACATCTTCTCGCAAAACGAAGAGGTCATCGCTTTTTAGAAGCTGCATCAGCACTTCTTTGGGTAGTGCCTTAAATTCTTCCTGGCACATCACATCTCCCCAGTGAGTGAGTGCCACATTCATTGCAGACGCATACAAATCTATAAGGGCAAATTGCTGTGAGTAGTTCATCAGGCCCAGGCAGTTGGAAACATGCAGTTCTCTCTCCAGAAACTTCTCACACAACAGTTTCACCCTATCAAACTGAAAAAAATCAGCTGTTTCCAGTAAGCTGGTCACATTTTCTTGACCTATAAGCACTTGTGCTGTGCAAGTGAACTCAAGTAGCGCCTGAAAAGGCACTGCATCAATCCCTCTGATCACTATGTGCTGTTCAGAGCTCTCTCTTGCCCCCCCAAAAAACATGGCTTCAAAATAACGACTATGTGCTGAAAGTACCCTACGGCTGACCTGAAAGAGTCTATCTCCGACCTCAAGAATTGTGTCTGCAATCACTTCTGTCTGAGGTCCCAGCTCCTCCAGTTCTTGTGCAGGCTCCATGCTTGTCAACTGCCAGGCAGTTAAAATTAACTCAGCCCTTATGCAGCCTTTACACATGTGAGGTCTCTGGAAACTCGATCCTCCTAGCTAAGATAAATACAAGATAAACCCATCTTGTCCTAAAAATAGAATGTTTTCTACCTTCCTGCCTTGCCCTTCAGTCTTTCCTGCTGCTTTCAGAGCAGCAATAGCAGGAGAACTGCATAACAAGAAAAAAACCATGCAGATTTAATTGGCCTTAGCCGGGTGAGACCACAGCAAATTAGGGGAGCTGTAAACCAAGCAAAGAACCTGGATTACGAGGAAGAAAAGAGGAGAACCAACCAAAACCTTCCTAAGCACTAAGCATCAAGAAATTGTAAAACATTTAATCCATTTGGAAAAAAGTATACATTACAATACTTCTCACTTCTGCAAATCAAAAACACAGGAAAGCTTCCTGGGGAAAAAACCACCAATTTCCCCAAAGCCACATCCTCCAAAAGTTCATGTTTAGTATCAAATTCCAGATTGCTTGCAGTACTTAGCATATATTTAACTTTATAGTAAGATATGGGAGGAAGGAATGAGCCCCCCCAATCAAACCCAAATGGCTGTCACTTATTCAGCCATCCTCAAACTCAATGCACTAAATAAGTACAGTCATAGTACAAGCAACAGCTGATTCCACACCAAGTTTTTCCAAAGTGTTTAAATCAAGCTCGTAAGTGGAGAGATTTGCAGTGACCTTGAACCAGTGCCCCTTACCCAAAAAAGCCCATCCCAGCAATCCTCAGTTCCATTTCTCAGGGAAGCTCCGTAAGCAAAATAGTGTTATCTGGATCAAGAGCACTTTTTTTTCTCCCTGGAGGTTCCCTCCTGCATTTCTGGAAGAGACTTCTGCAAAACTGCTGTTACAAATGGTTTTAAAGAGTATCACATTTAGGAATTAATCCAATAGAAAAGCATATACACATATAAAATTCAGCTATCGTTTTCATATTCTTATTTTCACGTACTTGCCTCCCAAATATAACCCAGAAGCCTGCACTGCAGAAAAGGACAGCAGTGAAAACTAAGCAACCTCTTAACTGAGCAGGAAATGCTGGAAACATGCCCCTCTCCAGAGTTTACACACTTGATACATGACTTCAGGCAGATCTCTCTGTACCCTCTGCATTTAGAGCCTGGAATCCACTCAAAAAAGGTTCAACAGGTCTGTTTCTGACGCTACACTCAGAAAACAAGACAGTGCAGAGATGGGTCAGCATGTAATTGCCATCAAAAACCAGCAATCTCTCTCCCCTACAGGGGAGAGTTCAAGACTACTCGGGCTGAGGGCACGCAAGTTCTGCTCCAAACATTCTAAATAAGGAGTCACTTTTGAATTGTGCAATTGCATGAAGAACAAGTTTTGTAGCATTAGAAAAAAAACTTATGTTGGAAGGAGCATGGCTCTACAGACAGCTCTATGAAGCATTCAAATGAACCCCTAAATTAAAATCCAGAAGCACTCAAGTTTACACAGGAAACATACCACACAAGACAACTGGTCCCTAGTTTTACAGCCTCCTGGAAAAGTCAGATACACTGATGCGGAATTTATTTACTTCAAGTTCTCATCCATTTCAGAGCTTACTCAGGAATTGAATGGGAGTATGGTGCTCTTGCCAAAATGAACAGCCAATAAAACAGTCCTTGGCACATTTCTTGATGTGCATTAGGAACAAGACCACTGCTGCCACCAAAACTCTGCCTCATAAATAATCCTCAGTAAAAGCAGGTGGCAAAAGCAGGTTACATACAGCTTACAGGCACATCCTCTACTCAACAGTCTTTCAGATGCCTAACAGAAATGCACAGGTCCTCAGAAAAAGGACAACATGCTGTCTGTCACTTCTCATCAATTTTCCGTGTTGGAGCCTTGGACGGCTTCTGATCTCATCCCTCCTGCTTTTGCTGCATTTAAAACCTCCTGAACAAATTTCATTTAGATATACAACTGTGGAGAACTGCTGTAGAGCACCTTTTTAGACTAAAAACCAGACATCTAGAAACACATTAATTTGTATTTATTAACTCAAAAATCCTCAAATCTTGCTATTTCTGCAGTATAAAAGAAATTAAAATGCTTACTTACAAATCAAGTTATAACAAGTAGAACTACAAGTGGACAGCTACAATATAAAAAATATAAAGTATTTCCAGACATTGCCTACAAGTGAACATTAGGGTTTTAAATATTCTTCCCCTAAGATTCCAAGTATCGAACAGATACTTCCATAAGGTTCATGTCACTCAGCCAAGAATCATCCTAGGAGGTAGTCCAGTCCTTCTGTAGAAATGCAGGAGCCTTCTGATACACCAATCACAGCCTATAAGATCTCCAACCAGTGCTAGAAAAGATCTGCTTAGCTACACAGCTTGTAAAGGTGATGACAAGGGACTATCCAAAGAATGTCATTTTCCTCATGTGGGACAGCAAGCAGGCAAAAGAGACTGAACTCAACAGCAGGAAGACTACAACACAATGCTTCCTGCTGAGTACTGACATTTAAGAGGAAAAGAAGCATGTTCTAATGCATTTAGGCTTTAGGTTAAATAATTTTTTAATGTATTTAAAAATGTAAATAATATAACCAATGTTCATTGGGGCATTCTTTACTAATTTTATGTGGTTGTTTCAAATCTCACGAGATCAAAAGGGTCTCAGACAATTCCATGACAGTATATTCTCTCCTGTCAGCTCTAAACAAATGTAGTTACATGTTTGTTTGGGGAGAAAAATAAAAATCAGAACTTATTTCTCACACACCATGTCAAATCCTCTCATCATTTATGGAAAGCCACAAAAATAAAAGTTGGCTGTTCTTTCACACTAAAACACACACACATACAAACTCCTCTCCCAAACCAGGAAGAGTTTCACACACTGATGGTTTTCTCCAATGATTTGCACCCTTGAAGGCTTCAGAGACAATCCAAAGAAAGCATCAGCCATCTTGCTGCTGAATGAAAGGGTTTGGAATAGCTTCCATTCCATCCTGTGGACAAATAAGAACTACAGAAGTCCCTCTGCAGACCACAAGTCCCAGCTGACGTGTGTCTTCTGTTAATTTGTATTGATCATCTGGATCTGAAAAGCAGAGTGCCACAGTTACAACGGCAGCATAAGGAAAAGAAACCAAGTTCCATCAACTTCAAAAGGCAGATATACATTCTTTTTTCCAGGTGTCCTTTCATTGTTTTATTGAACACATTGACTAAAAAAGTGATGCAGCAGTAATATCTGATGTCTTCAAGACATAACCGATTTACTTTAATTTGCAAAGTAGCACATGCCACAGTGAGTAATAAAGAACTTAGCTTTGTATGTAAAGGAGAACACATATCTTTTAAAGAATTCAAAGTCCTTTTCATTCATCTAATCAAGAGCATACATACAAATGATTAAGAAAGCCCCGATATCCCATTTCAAATGACATTATAGGTAAAGGTTTTGGGATAAATCCGAATCATAAGACCACCCTGGCTTCAGAATGCACTAAGTATACAGTGTACCAGTCCATTCCCAGATCAAGCCAAACAAGGCTGTGTATGGGGACAGAGAGAGAAACACACAGCAACAGTCAACTCCACCCTACTCGAGATGTCAATATATTCAATAAAAATGCGTCTTTAAGACGCTGCCTAACCATATGATGATTATTTTTTTTCAGAGAAGAGAAAGGGAAATGGGAGTATCTATCCTTCGATAGGAAAAAGAAAGAAATAGCAAGAAAAAAAACCTCTACAGCTCTATTAAGTCTAAGAAGCTATAGAAGGCTTTCGTTCCACAGAAATGCAAAAACTGCATTTGCAGTAGAGCTTATGACAGTAAGATAGCTCTTACTGATATGCTTTTCCTGCTTTCAGCAAACTGGCAGCCCTTCAGTAGCATAAACAAAGGCAAAGGCTTTATCTGAAGAGAGAAATACTATTGCATTCAAGCTTTAGAGGACAACAGCACCAAATAAGTTATGGAGGAGCTCAAGCAAGGACAACCAAAAATGTTCTACCACAGGGAATGTGCTTAATCTAACTTCTGTTACTTTATCCCTCTCTTTCCAACTTATCACAAACATGTCTCAGTTTGGATGACATCAACCTGCAGTTTCTGGTTATTGACTCTGAGCTGTAAGATTTCTGTTAAAATTATTCTTCGGTGGAAAAAAAAAAGGAAGCTTCACACAGTTAACATATTACTTACCTCGCATATATTCAATGGTACCATCAAGCACAAGGTTCAGAAGAGGGTCAAATCCTTTCAAAACACCACTTGCTATTAGAGACCACACACAAAACAATGATTAGAGACTAAACCAGGTAAACAGCAACACAAGACTGCATGAAGGACATTCTCCAGCTCTGTTCCCTCCTTCAAGCAAGGCTATCGAGCAAAGGAGATCAGAGATACTCAACAGCGCCCTCTTTGGGCAGATGCACAATAACCAGGTTTGTGTTTTGCCAATTGAACCTTACAGGTTTTTAAACCAATTCTTCAAAATGCTCTTCAAAACAGTAACTTTTTTTCCAGACAATTTCAGAGGCATTTTAAAAATACTTCAACATAGCAAACTGATACAAGTCACACCGCAAAAAAAAAAAACCAAAAAACCAACCACCAAACAGATATCCAGATACCCTAAGTGAAAGGCTATGGCAAAAAATGAGGCAAGACTGTAATATTCTTAAGCGCTTTCTTCAGAAAACCCATCTTCCAAGTGCCCTCCTGGAACATAATGTCTTTAGCATAAGCTTTGCCTTCACAGGAATGCAGAGTAGACAAGTAAGCACTTTGTCCTAAAAAAAGAACTATTCCTCAAGACTAAATAAAATGCAAGACTATATAGAATGGTATCCCAGTTTGAAAAACACTTGTTGATTACCAGCATTACTATCATTGCTAACAGCCCAAATAAAAAAAAAAAAAGGAGACTTGTATAACCTCGGGTGTTATACGAGGAACATACAGGAACTTAGCATTAATTTTTTGAGAAGAAAATCTAAAACACTAGATCCAATTGAACTGTCAAACGCCCAAGAACTAAAACCACCACCCCAAACCCCACACTGATCAGTAAGAACTTCCAAGAACTTTGTAAGCACCAAGTCCCAGTGGAGCTTTAAATGAGATTTTTTTTTTTTTTAAGGGCAAACCGAGAAGCGTCTCTCACACAAGATGCTGTGAACTTTCAAAGAAGTGGTCTACAGATGGCACTACCAGCCGGGATGGAGAGATAGCTGTGGATCCGGCACGGCAGAAGGGACAGGGAAGTAAGAAGAAAAGGGAAGGGGGGGAAACGACATTAAGAGCCTCAAAAGTTACGGAATGTCATGGTCAAACATAATGAAACAATCCATGAGCGCCAGGTGAACTTAGCACATCAAGAGATGAAAGGGATGAGAGATGTATCAATCAGAATACCCTGTTACAGTCCGTTTGGTTTTTTTTCTGCTTCAACTGTGCCCCTGCAGTGTGAAAAGCTTCCAGAAGAAACAATACAGCTGAAGACAACTAATAAGAAAAGATGAAGGAAAAGCGCGCAGATGAAACATTGATAAAATTGCAGCCAGAGGGTTAACGGAAAGGTTGAAGGAGCTCAACTCCGCACCGGTAACAGCCGACAGGAACAAGTAAAAGCCCCCGCTCCTCGCCGCCTAACCCCGCGGAGGGGCCGCGGCCGCGCACGGCGGGAAAGGCTCCGCGCTGCGGCGGCCCGGGGCTCGGCCCCGCCGGGCGGGCTCACCTTCTCTGCCGCCCTGGAACTTCACCCGGATCGTTTTGTCGATGTATTTGGAGAGGTCCAAAATGCTCTCCTTCTTCTTCTTCTCCTTGTCCTGCGGGAGAGGAGCGCGGGCAAGCTGAATGAAACAGAGCCCTCCCCCGCCTCGCCCTCCCCCGCCTCGCC